ACCATGCTGCTGGAGATTCGTCATCGTGTCAGAACACACGATCGGTATTGACAATTGCCTTCCAGTTCCCTTTTGAGAGCAATCTACAGGATAATGTCGCAACTATGGCACGTCAGTACGTCCGTAGTGTGATTTCATCCGTCCAAAGAGTGGCCATGGCAATAACTCCATCAGGATTGAGCCCAACTGTGGGACCCAAGCTCTCACCAGGCTCTCCAGAAGCACTTACATTAGCTCACTGGATCTGCCAAAGCTATAGGCAAGTCCTGCTTCAACTTTTTTCTTGTATTAACATTCAATAAATTGGATACATGTGATTGACATCTACGAGGTGGACAACCTCAAGTTTAGATTGCTTACCTGGTGGAGAGAGCAAAGAAGACAAAGATGAAAAGAAGTGATCATTTTCTTTATTCAGAACGCATTCAAATTAATTATCTTTGTCTGGCCTTACCCATACTTTTATTGAGTGAAACATTTTCTTATCGTATTGACAACCAGCTCATTTATCTTTTTTTTGCATAAGTTGCTAATGTTTCCTTCCAATTTCTTCTGCAGCTTCCATTTAGGGGCAGAGTTGTTCAGATCTGATTCTGTTGTTGGTGACTCTGTGTTGAAGCATCTTTGGCATCATCAGGATGCCATATTGTGCTGTTCATTGAAGGTGTATTTTGAAGCCTATGAAAATTTACATCCTGTCCATTTGAGATATAGAAATTATTATTTTTTTAATTAAGTTCCTTAATATTCATTATTCAAGAAACTGATCAAATTGTTTAGTCTGGAATAAATTTCAGTGATTTTTTGCTTATGTGTCTTTGTTGATGCTGCAGTCGCTTCCAGTTTTCATCTTTGCAAACCAAGCAGGCCTTGACATGCTGGAGACAACTTTAGTGGCTCTACAAGATATCTCACTGGATAAAATTTTTGATGAGTCTGGACGAAAGTCATTATGTGCTGACTTCGCCAAGTTAATGCAGCAGGTAAGTTGGTTCCTTCTACCATTGATTGAATTGGGGGGTTGATAAATGCAAATCCTAAGTGACTGAAAGTTATTTTTTTCCATCAGGGTTTCACTTATTTGCCGGCGGGCATCTGCATGTCAACGATGGGGCGCCATGTTTCATACGAACAAGCAGTTGCATGGAAAGTCCTTGCTGCAGAAGAGAATACTGTCCACTGTCTTGCCTTCTCCTTTGTAAACTGGTCTTTTGTGTGAACAGTTAAATTTATTTGTCCAACATATTTCCCTCCAGTTAAATATGAAAAAAAGAGAAGGGAATATGAAAAAAAAAAAAAGTAGAAAAAAAAAAAAAAGAAGATAGTTTTGTACTATTTAAATCCCAGCCTCAGGTTTGCATTTATATTAATTTAATTGAATTTTTAGTGCACCAAAATTTTCCTCAGTGTTGCTTTCACATCTTGGAACTTGAAAATGAAACTGATATTGAGGGAGGAGAAAGATTTGATTCTTTTCCACTTCCAGACAAGGTGAATCACGGGCTTTTATTTAAAAGCCTTGAATTCTTTGACAGATATCATGCTAATATGTCTAGTATTTAATATGGCATTTAAATCTCAACAGTTTGATTGTGTTTGTGCATGGATTTTTTCGTTGTACGAAGATATGAAATAAATGAGGTTTAAAAGGATGCACTGCTCCACCATTGGTGCTTTGTTAAATGTATTCAGAAATGTGACAGTTTTCCATCCATACCACCTGTAGGGGTTTTTTCAAGGCTTTTCTGCAAAATCTTATCCGGGCATTTATTAATGTCTTCGTATAATTGGTGTTGAAAATCCAAGCATTAATTGATATTGTTTGTATAATTTGTTTACTAGTACTTAATTGTTGTTTGAAAGTTGAAAGTTTTTGGGTCCATGGAATTACAGTTTTCAGTTTTGAGCAGCGTGGTGTGTTATTTAAGGAGTGGACCTGGGGGGTCTTTAATAGAAGTTACTGTGCAAACTTCTGGCATTATTGTTCCACTTGAAGGTGAGATTTGAAAGGAATGCAGTAAAATATTAGTAGCTTTTTCGTATGGGCATGATTATTATGGGCAATGGTGAAAATTTTGAAGGTGTGGGATCAGCCATCATTTGTTGTCGTTAAATTCCATTTGTTATTATGAATGATTTAAGACATTCACTTTACTTTGCTTCGTCAATGGAAAATGAATATGTCTAAAGCTGATTGATTGGATTGGCTTTGCCTTTTTTTGGAACTATTCTTGCGCACGCATTAAGACCCACCTTGTAGAATATTTCAACTTCAAATTCAATATATGTTTCAGGTATGGCCATGTTCAAATCTAGATCTTTAATACAAGTCCTTTCACCTGGTTAAAACTCTGGTGAGCTGAACTTCATCAGATTACTGGAACAATGAACAAGTAAACAACTGGTTTATTCTTAAGATTAAACCTCTTCATTAATACACGAAAGTATTACTATGGGTCAGACATTCTTGAAGAAATGGGATCATTTTCACCAATTTCTGCATTCAATTCCTGGATATGGTCTCAGCAAATACCTGATTAACTCTTGCTTGGTCATCAGCTACTGAGCTACTGCTGCTGCCTTCACACTTCTGCTTGAAATTGCAATTTTAGTATAATCTAACTACATGTAAACCAAATAAAACTAGTGAAACTTTTAGCAACTTTCATTGCCAGTTGAGCTGAGTATGTTTTACAAATGTAGAAGGACAAAAAGGGTATTAGCAGTTTTGGCATGAAAAGATTTGGAAGTACCTGAGGCGGAGTTGCATGCATGGAAGTCGACCATGGAAATGGAAGACATATTCTGAGCTAACAACAGTATGATAAATTGAATCTGTTATCTCAAATTCCTTTCTTTGATGACGATGAGAAACCGTTCAAGAATCAAGAATCGATTTAACCTTCTCTTGATTCCCAAAATACTATCAAATGTTGGTAGACTGTTCAGAGAATATAGGATTTGTGGGGAAATTATTTCTGCACTAAATTTTAGTACTTCCTGCAATTAAGAAAGACACAACTGTCGATCGCTTGTAAAAAATTTAAGAATAGAATCATCAGTTTGCACTTCTCTTCATGATGCTTCAATTACGAGAGGAAGGATAATTAATTATTTTTCCATTTTCTTTCTCATCATTGTAACCTTCCAAAGGAAAAATAAAACTAAATGTAATCACATCACATTGACTCACCCATATTAATTTCACTTGTACTTCTTAAAATAATAATTGAATCAATTTTACGTTAAATGATGATATCAAATCATTAGAGCCTTTTTATTGAAGAAATTACGCAGAAAAATTGGTTGTATTACTAATTCAGAGTTTAAGTGACAAAAGAGTAGCATNTCGCTTGTAAAAAATTTAAGAATAGAATCATCAGTTTGCACTTCTCTTCATGATGCTTCAATTACGAGAGCAAGGATAATTAATTATTTTTCCATTTTCTTTCTCATCATTGTAACCTTCCAAAGGAAAAATAAAACTAAATGTAATCACATCACATTGACTCACCCATATTAATTTCACTTGTACTTCTTAAAATAATAATTGAATCAATTTTACGTTAAATGATGATATCAAATCATTAGAGCCTTTTTATTGAAGAAATTACGCAGAAAAATTGGTTGTATTACTAATTCAGAGTTTAAGTGACAAAAGAGTAGAGCATTAACACACAATCGAAGAGGGTTTGAAAATATTCCAGGTGATTGTTTACAGTTATCACTAAAATAATTCAATCAATTGGATCTCTCCCATTGCCAAATGGATAGTTACCCATCCATAACCAAATATGTATGTTGCAGCCTGATTTCATAAAACTATACACACGACAACACAACCAAGTTTTAAAACACAAAAAGCCAAGGGAAAGATCACAGATACACACGACATCGATATGTAAGCTTCAGCTATTAGTCCAAAATGGCCAGAATCTTCTTCCTCTTTCTGGATTTTTACATGGGATCTTCTCATCGGGACGCCAATGACCAAAAATTTAAGAGAAAAGATGGTAATGCAGTAAACCAGCTTATAAAGGCCATGGCAGTAGCAGTTTCAAACTGCACACAGTGATTCTGGTAACAGCTTTGAAGATCATTGTCAATAAGAACTGTGATGCCAGCAGATGCACATGCTGCAGCAAATGTAAGAGTCGATGTTATCTGCAAAAAAAACGAAACAATTTTATTTAAACATAAATAGAATTTTGAATATGATAAATAAACTCATAAATACGTAATCATGAATTAAGAATCTGTAAAAAGCAAGTTACGGTAGCAGTATGCCACAGAGAAGAAGGGTGGGACAAATATATTCAGGTAGTTACATAGCGTAGTGAATATTTACATGGCCTTCCAACATTTTAAGTGCATGCTGATAATCTTCTCAACATTCATATACACTGTTGGCAACATTCCTTAATCAAAATTTGTTCAAAGTCCTATTCTACAAAATAGCTGGGAATGAACATGATGAATGCTATCCACAAATGAACATCAAAGGTTTTCTATTAAATGTAAGATCAGAGATTCTAACCAGCATTAATTGTTCAAAATGGTTCCAAGAATATGCGAAGTTTTACATCTTCTGTATATACATTTTGCTGGAAAAGATTACCAGAGAAAAGATCTATAAAGTCAAACTCAATCTAGACTTGGCTCCATCCTGAATTGAGCTCTCAGTGAATAGCTTAAGTTTTTCAGTAGTACGACAACAATCTGATGCTGCATGTGATAAGGCAGCAGTTGGTTACTCGGCGCAGTGTCTATGACAAGATACTGAGACCAAAAGCAACAATGGCTTGAGCTATTACAACCAACATTTTTAAATTAAAAAGTAATTTAATGAAATTATTGCTTGCATTTTCATTTAAAAAAAGAAAGTTTCAACAAATTCTCTGAAAAGCATCATAGGCAAAACCAAGTAGTTCAAAACAGCCCAACTTCTTAGGTGTCAGAAAAGGTGTCACACGCTTAAAAAACTTGGCAATATGCTAATTTCAGTCACCTATATCAAAAAACATATTGTTCAGACAACCAAAGTGCAAGTAAAAAATTTCCCAGGAATTAACCAAATTAATAAGACATCAAATCAAGAGTGGTGTTGATATGTGCTGCAACAACTTAGTTATATTACTGTTAAGTGCATTATCTTACCCCATCACCAACAGCAAACAAACTGACAATTCGATTGTTTTGCAAGGATCGCATCACCAGAAGGGCATAAATGTCTACAATGGCCAACGAAAGGCTCCACAAACTTTGCAAGCCAGCAGCTGCAACAAGGAAGCTGATGTAGCAAATATCAGAAAAGATTCCATTTAATGCCAAGCAGAAACCTTCGTGATAACATTATATACAGAATCACAAACTGAAAATTTGTTACTTCAATAGGTCAATCACGTATGTATTCAACAGTCAACTGCCTGATTACGAGCACAAGATGTTGAATATGATTTTCAACAGATGATATGCACTAGATAGCTTGCCAGCATGGAAGTATACTGCTTTAATGTTGGCTTGGGCTTGATACAAGTTTTCACAGTACATGAGTTAAATTAGGGCAGATTAAATCGGCATGAGCAACTTCCGTTGTTGCACCTATAAATTCAGACATCAGATTCATCTAATCCTGAAATCTTAGGAGACGGGGAAAATGTCAATTCTTTATCCTACCCATTTCCAAACCCAGCCCAAACTTAAGTATGTATTTAACTTAGCATATCAAGTACTCAAGTTGTACAAAGATATCCAAGAAATAAACAAACAAATTAAGAGTGTAGCTAAAATATTTGAAAGTTGACTGACTATTTTCAGAATCATAGAATACAAGTCTTCACTCCCTTTTCCGGACAGGGTTAAAAGCAAGTCCATATTCACCTAGTTTTGTTCTCATCTTTTCAGATAGAGAACCTGTGTCTTGTATGATTATATATATATATATATATATATATATATATACACACCACACACAGACACACATATATATATATATGGTACATGAAGCCCAGATTCAACAATATGTTACATGACCGAAATTCCACAGACAAAACCCAAAAGGCAAAACCAAGCACCATAATTTAGCCAAAGATCCTGCAATGCACAGCCAGCCCTCTCACTAATCTGCCAATAATGCAGAACTAACAGTTGACCACACACACCACAAAGTAACTACAGATATTTGATGAGCAGGTCGACAATGAGAAGTTGCACAACATCAATCCATAATCACTAATGGCTTTAGACAGCTCAACCTTACACATCTTGATAGGATGCTAGACATTTTCTATATGGGGATGGAGTCCATCACCTCACACTTCATATCTAAACACCATCAAGAGTATTTCTGCAGAGGCAACCCAACAGATGCTGGAAACACAAACTACAGAACTTACCCTGAATTCTAGATACTCATACCCAATGGATTTTGCTATCAAACTTAAAACTCTCAATTTAAAAAAAGGAAGCTAATTGTGTCTAGAACGGAGTAGATCTGGCTATGTCCTTTGCAATTATTACTAAATTCCAATCTTTTAAGTTCTACAAAATTCATAATTTTTACTGAAAGTAGATAATCATAGACACAACTGGATTGATCCTCATATAAGCACTCTATTGCATTAGAACATGGAAAACTAATACAAAAATGATTGTAGACAGGATAAATGAATTCTCAACCAAAATGATAGTTGACTAACTACTACGAATTATTTACCAAAGAACATCAACCAAACTGCCAAGAAAAGAAAATGCAATGCATGTATCCACCAAAAAGCAGCACTGAATAATATAAATTACCCAATTTCAGACCTATTCGATTTTAACATCTTTTGCATTATGATGTTTACACTAAGCAGACTTAGCTCTAATTGAGTATCTTTCCCAAACAGCAAACCCAATGGTTCTGATGACATTCACACGATTTGAAATAAAAACCCAAACCAGAGTCTCATTTTCACAAAATCCAAATGTACCAAAATAATTCTAGCTCTTCTTCAAAACTCAATCAACCAGATTTTACTAACAAAAGGCGATTTATAAACTCTATGTATTGCAATCCATTTATACAAACATAAAACTAATTAACCAACAAACGAACTTAATGAGTAAACTTGATACAAACGACATGGTATATTACCAAAAAGCAGTTACAGAAGGGAAGTCACTGGTGGTCGCCATGACACAAAGCGCTGCAACGGCAAAGATCAACTGACAAATTCGCAAAGTCAGGCCGCCAGGCGTCCCGGGCATGCCCTGTATGTCCTTCATCCTCACTCTCGGAGCATTGCCGCCATCCGTGGTCGGAGGATCTTCCACAGGGTGAACCGACGCATGGCTCACGTTCATCTCTTTACCACCACAAACTTCAATTCATAACGCCCTCCCTCTATCTCCCTCACGACTAATTTCTGGGTCAAATTCTCAAATAACAAAGCGCTTTAACTGCAATCCATTAAAAAGAACAAACATCGGTCAATTAAACTCTGTCCAAAACAATCTTCAATTTAATTCGCCTCTCAATCACTAATCTCCAGAGAAAATTCAAAAAAGACAAACAATATAAAAGAAACTGAACAAATTTCAAAATCCAATAGATTACCGACGCTAAGTTGATGAGAATTTTGAAAACAAAAGCGAAGATCTAACAACCGAAAAAAATATGTACCTAAACTCAATAATTAATAATCGTACCTTAATTATGAAGAAACTACCATTGTAGTAAAGGCGGAATCCGAATCACTGTTTAACTGCGATTGAATTTTTTGTTTAATTATGGATTATTTATGAAAGGTCAAAACATGAAGAGAAGGAAAAGCAAAGCTAAAAAGAAGAAAAGAGTTTGCTGAACGGTCGACTCGCGACACTATTGGCTGTTGAGATGTAGTAAAGGCGTGTTTGGTATTTGGAGTCTAATTAATTTATCTTAATCTTACGTTATTCTTAATGAATAATAATCGTGCCATTCTGTTCACAATTTATTGCCGATATTCCACCAACAAAAGCCGTCTCGTAAATTCTGTTATTAATAATAAATTAAGTTGAAAATTGATAAATCAACGTATGTTTAATTTAGGAGTTTAGGAAGTCTTGTCCAATAGTGTTTTAATGTTGTAATTAATTGACTTTGATCTCCTTGATTCCGTTGACAAGAGTGTTCGTTTTCGGCTCCAGAACAACGTGGAAGTTGTTCTATGTATGTAATTGTAAACCACTTGTTTTTCTTATCTCTATCTCTTTTAAACAGGCTATTTTCTGACCTCCTAAATGTTTGGGTTTTAAACGAGACACTCTCAAACGTCTTAAGTAGCGTTCTACATCCTCCCTCGCAGTTCAAAAAATGTCCCAAATCTCCCATCTCCATGTTTACTTACATTTAAATTATTTACAGGGAAGACAAACTCTTCCATCCAAGGACAGACCATGAATTAATGTTAGGGAAACAAATTAAGTAATTTAATACAATTATATGAAAACTTTTCTTATGTGTTCATTCAAAGAGATGAATAAAATATATTATGCCTAAAAAATACACACTAAAAGATAAAAGTGTATTAGCTATCAAAACTTAAATTGTCTCAAAGAGATATTATATAACACTTGTCTCATCCATATGTCAAGGTAACTTGCAAAAGCACTCGTTACGTTGAGCTCAAAAGTATATAAATGAGTACATCTCTTCATGAAAAAATAGTTGGCTGAACATATGAGAGTTAGACATATGTTTGAGTTTTTTTTTTTTTTTCTGTAAACAAAATATTGATCTATTTTTGTACGCCTTACAGGCAATATTAGCAAAATAGTTAGAGAATAATAAAATAACAGTGGATGTAGGATTCGCTTTCAACATGTAAACCATTATAAAAATCTCTCTTGTCAATATTTTATTTATGTTTCTACAAACATATATCATTTTAGCACCATAATCAACTCTTTAATCAATCACATCACGTGTAATTTCTAAAACATCCTTAGCACTTTGCACGTGCGAGGTTGTTGGTGTCAAAATCACACATTAACAAAATATATATATTTTGTAATTATCATATAGATTTTGACCCCTAATCAAATGATTTTGTTAAAAACAACAAGGGATGTTTGAGACAATCAAATTCACAACTCAATCTCACAACCCCCGATGTGACAACTTATAATTAGTCAGCTCGCAAATGGATAGGCGGACTCATAGCACGCAGGCGGGATCTATTTACAAGTTGACTGATTACAAACTGTCACGTCGAGAGTTGTAAGATTGAGTTGTGGATCTAACATTAATGCGAGGAGGGGTATGAGATGTTATTTTAGGACTTTAGGGTGTCTTTTATAAAACCCAAACGTGAGGGCAGGCTAAGAATTATAGCTCGTTTTAAATCTAAACACTTAGGAGAATTTTTTGTCCCTGTGGCTCATTAAATTACAATCAAGGATACTAGTTTCAATACTAGCAATTTGGTTCTTTTGACCGTTAATTGACTTAGAAATTAACTTAATCACAAAAATAACCCTTTAAAACCAATGAAAAATGCATATACAAAACAATATTAATGTAAAGTTATTAAACAAACACATTACACACACGTGTCTTTTGTTAAATGGATTTGCTCAATATTATCTAGAAAAATATTATCGTCATTTCACATTTGAGTATCGTTTTCAAGGCAATTAACGGCCAACTGAAAGAGTTAAGTCAAAATACTAGTACAGTGATGTTTAAATGAGTGTTCTTGAATTAGTAGAGCGAATGCCCATGGATAAAAATGTAATACTCTCCATACTGATGTGCTGTATATTGCATTGTATTGTATTGTATGATTTCATCATGAAACTATAGTGTATGCAAAAATAACTTTCGTTATTCGTTTTATTTTAAAATCTATTGCAAAATTTTAAGCGAATTGACATGATAAATGATATAAGTGAATTAATTAATAATTAACACACTGCCAATATATATTTAATTTACGCATTATTGTTAAATGTTGTGGTGGGTGTCTCATTTTGTTCCTCAACATACATGGATATGGCTGGCTGGCTAACCCTAACCTTTAATTTCACTCTTTTTAACTTATTTGGCATGTCCTCTTCGTATCTTACCATTTCTGCTGCCAATCCTCAGTGATGCTGTCACATTTCTCCTCATAATTCATTTATATTTAGACTCCATAATATCTTTGTTTTTTTTTCCAAATGGGGTGTCCGGACCAACTTGCGAGCACCTCAACTATTATCCGAGGACCCAATTGAATATAACATAATATCTTACTTCTCCTTCTCTTTTTCGTATTTTTGGTCATTTCCGTTCTTTTTTTTTTTTTTTAAAAGAACATCTTTTAAAATATTTGCAAATAATTCATTTATTTCATGCAAATATATATTTAAGTTAATAATCTTAATTTCCCAAAATATAAAAATTTTATTTAAATGACAAATTTAGCTGTAATTAGACGATTTAATTATATCTTTAATAAAACAATAAATGAGATGTTATCAAGGTATGAAGTTAAACTATACTAGACTCAATAGTCTAATAGTTGATAACCTGACTAAAACATACAAGAAGTCTAATGCACTTCGGTTATTTTGTTTTTGTTATTTTTCATTGAAGACAATCTATGTTTTAAAAAACGGATTGGACCGGCCGGTAGGACTGGGACTCGGCAGCTTCTCCGGTTCAGTTCAGGTTTTAGGGGGTTTTTATAATATTTCAAAATTATAAGGGCTTTGTAATTTTATAGGGGTTTTTTGAAATATGTCAAAAGTTTAGGGATTAATTGGTAATTTTTAGGGCATTTTTGAAATAAATAAAAATTTTAGGGACTAATAAAACTTTTTTAGGGGAATTTTTGTAATATATTAAAATTTGAGGGATTAATAGTAATTTTTTAAAAATAAAATTGTCGTTGACGTCATCGGTCCAACCAGTTGACCCGTGACCCGGGCAGCAAAACGAGTTGCCCTCCAGTCCAGGTTTTAAAACAATGAAGACAATTACATAAATTAATAATTTTATGGCTATTTTTTTTTTAAATAAAACCTTGACATTTTAAAAATTAAAATTAGTGGTATTGACTATAAATTAGTGGTACAACATTTAAACATTACAAAGGTTAGGTTATATTTTTCTTCCAAGGTGGGGCTTCTTTCAACCGACTGATATTTGCAGTGATCTGTTTTTTAGGCAACAATTAAAGCTATGGAACCAACTAAAAGTATTAATATGACTTGATAGAACTCTAACTTGAGAAAGACACGAGCGAAGACTTCTTTTGCTTCATTGTCCTACTTAATTAATTTGTTTCTCTTCTTATTTCATTTCTTAATCATTTGACCTCCTTGCCTTAATTTTATTTTTAGAGAATATTTTTTTTTCTTTTGATAATAATAAAATCTTTCAAATTTGAGACATTATGAGAGCAAACCTTAGAAGTTAGACCTAACTTGACCATTTAACTAATCTTTTATGGAGTAAACGACTTTTTCTCACCCAAAAAATGGTTTAATGACACATTTTCACCCACATACTTTAAAAATACCAGTTTACTACATAAATTTATATTCCGTTTCCGATTCCGACATTATTACGATCCCACACCATCACCATTTTCTTTTCCAATCATCATTCATCAAAACCCCTCAAAACCTATTCCAGCCAACCCCACCAATCGCCGATAATCGAGCGATTAAGGTTTGCGCAGCCGCCCATCCGAAGTCAAATTCTGATAAACCCCAACCACTAAACTCCAACCTTTATTACAAAAAGACTCATCGACCTGTCCTCTTCAAAAACCCTAATAGTTTAGACTAAATTTACTCTCTGTTCATTGTCGGAATGTAAATTTGGATAGTAAAGTGGTATTTTAAAAGTCTATGAGCCAAAAAATATTATTAAACTTAAGCCATTATTTGAGTGGGAAAAAGTTGTTAACTCATCTTCTATGGGTTATAAAGATCATTGTTAGCCTGATAGAGAAAGACCTAAAATTAGGTTAAAAATGATTAATTAGTAAAATATATATAGATTAGAAAAATTGGATGTTGACATTACGAAGTCAAATTATTTCCATATTTATGGATATTCTAATTGATTTGGCATGTATTATGCAAGGTCTAATCCATGCAATCAATTCATCGATCTATTCCTCTGCTCGGTAAATGAACATGTTATTTTATTGCATAACATAAGACATAAATATTTTTTTTCAATTAATCGGCACTGATAAAAGATGTGGCATGAGAAAAAGGAGTAAATTTCTGGATATTAATAAAAATAATTACGTTATGAACGATAAAGGATACTTTTTATTTAACTTTGATAAATGATAACTCTTAATTATTACTAACTTTACCTTTATTAGGTTTTTTAATTAACTTTTTTTGCCGCAAATGTTTAATTAACGTTCCCCTCTTAACGCATAAGCCAAAACACCGAAGCAATCATTCACTAAAGTCCGAAGGTGCGCGCCTTTCACCCCTTATTTTCAACAAGTGCTCTTAAAAGATAAAACACGTGAAAACAAATTAGCCACGTTAGATATAATTTAAATTAATTTTTTTATATTATCATACTTAATTTAAAAATAAAATTATATTATATTATGATTCTTAAAAAAAGAAAATAAGAAGATAAAAACGATTTCACATCCGTAATTTTTACTAAACCAACCACTCATGGACGCATGCTTATCGGTTATCAATTATCCAATATAAGGGGCAATCTCGGAATTAACGAAAAGGTTTGCCACGTGTGGTGTTGAGTGCGCATGGTCATGGTGGTCTATGCGGACCTGACATGACGAGTTAGTTATGCTAAACTCACATGACTTTCAATGTGTTTGAAACGTCAGTGGTTGCATCAGTGTACACGTGTCCGATAAGTTGACTACTGGTTGCAATCTAATCGCCAGAAATTTGGACTAATTTAAGAATGGTTCAGCAATAAAGTATAGTGGTGCGTCACAGTCCCTGTCAAAAGAACCTAATTTGAATAAAAGTACGCATTGTTTCAGATGGGCCCATTTCAATTAGCAGTGTGACCACATACGAGCATAGCCGAAGGCTACCATCATCAACTATTTTCGAATTTTATGGCACTTTTTGATTTTGGAGTCACGTGCCGTGATCTTAGTACGAATTATTATTATTATTTTTTCTCTAGTGAAATTAATGTACCTTTACTTTAAGTACATTCTTGATTCCACTCTGCTTGCTCCTAAATTATGTTGCCTGTATAAATTTACTATTTAAATTGATATAATACTATTACATGATTGAAACTTCAGTTATTATANTCAAAAGAACCTAATTTGAATAAAAGTACGCATTGTTTCAGATGGGCCCATTTCAATTAGCAGTGTGACCACATACGAGCATAGCCGAAGGCTACCATCATCAACTATTTTCGAATTTTATGGCACTTTTTGATTTTGGAGTCACGTGCCGTGATCTTAGTACGAATTATTATTATTATTTTTTCTCTAGTGAAATTAATGTACCTTTACTTTAAGTACATTCTTGATTCCACTCTGCTTGCTCCTAAATTATGTTGCCTGTATAAATTTACTATTTAAATTGATATAATACTATTACATGATTGAAACTTCAGTTATTATAATTGTAATTTAAATTATGCTACATATTAATTTACATATATTTCACATAAAAAAATTAGTCATTCTACATAATAAATTATATTTATTTATCAAATTATGGACATTGCTATAATGTATAGGACACGTACATGAAATAAGATATCAATCATATTGACAGAATTTTTAATAGGAAATGCTGACATGATTCATTCAGAATTAGGTCACTTGAAACAAAATTAAGTTTCCATATAAAATGTTTATAAGTTTATCAATTTTTTTTTTTTTTTTTTGTGATAACTAAGATGTCTGGGCCAGTTTGCGCACACCTTAATTAATCATCGGGGTCCATTGAACACCCTATAAGCTCAAAAGACTAGGTAAGCTACAGTGATATTATGGTAGGTAACCCCAAAGTTTGAACTCAATAATTCAAGGAAGTGAGCAAACCTCTTTGACCGCTAGGTAACCCGTTGGGGTTTGTAAGTTTATTGATTTGTTAAACAAGAAATGTATGAGCCGGCAATATTTCAAACTCAAAGATCAAATTACACCTAAGAGTTAAGGACTTTTCTTTACCCAAATAATGGCTTAATGACACTTTTTCATCCACAAACTTTTAAAATACCATTTTACTACCCAAATTTATATTCCAACGGTGAATAGAGAACAAATTCGTTTCAAGCTGTTGAGGCTTTTGAAGTGGGAAGACCGATGAATCTTTTGGTGGTGGAAGGTAGGATTTTGGTGGTTGAGATTGATCGAAATTTGACTTGAGAGGGGTGGTTGCGTAAATCCTAATCACTCAATTGCTAATGATTGATGGGATCGGTGAGAGTAGGGTTTGAAGGGTTTTGATGAGTGATGATCAAATGAGAGAATGTTCGTGGTACGGGGTCGTAACGATGCCGAAATCAGAAACAAAATATAAATTTGAATAATAAAGTAGTATTTTAAAAATTTATAGATGATAAAGTGTCATTACACCATTATTTGGGTGGGAAAAAGTTCTTACACCAATTTAGTTCCAAGTAGAGTAGGGATAGCAAAGTCAAGTTAGATTCAAATGATAGGTTCATACCTGTGTTTTTGTACCTGAGCCAAACTATCCTTACTTTGGGCCAAGGTTTCAATATCAATTAATAAATTACCATAATTGTCAATGTTGTCTATAAGTACCCTATTATATAATGCATACTGTTTTTGTTTTTTTTGTTTTTATAAATACTATGTAATAAGTAAAAACACCTGGGTATAGACCGGAGTCTTTTTGTTCTATTGTAAAGTCTAGGTATGTTTCTGCTTTAGAATTTGAAACCTGGCTCTAGGTTGGGTTTCTTTTACGTCCTTAGATTTCATACAAAAAATTGGCAACAATGGAACATATAAATATATATGATAATGAATAATAATCTTTTTCCTTTTTTTTTTTCCTAAACTTATTTTAGTTCCTAATATTTCTTTCTTCAAATTTATGTAAAGTCAACATAAATTATGATAATGAGGCATATGCCTTTATAAGCTAAAATAATTTCATTTGGTTTGGGATTTTTATATGGGGGGATTACTTTGATTAAACTAAACCATACATATCCTAAACAATTATATTTTAAAAAAATATTTACATCTAAAAAAAATAAAAAAAATTATAAAACAAAAGAATTAACTATCTTTAGATAACTTGATGGTTCGCTTAAGACTCTTTGGTGTGTTATTGATCTCGAGTTCGAATCTTAATTACTACTAATAAATGATAGTCGTTAGAGGTTTATCTATCCGTTAACTTCAGAATCTCGATAGACTAGTTGAGGTATGCGTAAGTTAGCCTAGACACCCTCGATAGAAAAGAAAAAAAAATTATTATCGTTGTTTTCATAAAAAAAATATATATATTTGAAAACTTTGATGTTAAATCTTGGACCGTTTTGCGTGTTAAATTTGTATATGTGATACATCAACATACATACATGCATGCATAAATCACATGCTTTCACATAACATATTGTTTTGCTATTGTGGAAACCGGAGCATCACATTTGTACTTTTCCGCCTCTCCATCAGCAGTAGCATAACAATTAACCTTCCGATCGCTCGCAGCTACTGCGAAGGTTTTGGACTGCGTCCCCTCTCTCTCTCACTCTCTCTCTCTACATCTCGATCTTCACGGCGCTGAACTTTTTCGATCTTGCAGTCTCCCAAAATTAGGGTTTCATATCTCCATCAATCTATTACTAATCGCTTGAATCTAGCCCATCTCGTTTCTTCATTCGAAAATACCTAGATTTACTGCTCCTATTTTTTCACCTCACAGATCTACTCACCTCACTCAAATATCTTCTGTACCTTTCTTTCTTCATCATGTTCTGGAAGCTCACAGCTCTCTCCGCCTCCTCTCCGGTAACTCTTTTCGACGCCTAATTTTTTTTTCCATTTTTTTGGCTCGTAGCTGTTTATATGCTAATTAGCTCCTTATTGTGTGCGGTTTTTGAAATTTTTGATACTTAATTAGACCGAAGTGTGGATTAGTTTGGTATACGTACATAAAGAGGTTTTAGTATAAGTTGTGTCATAAGTGGCAATTAGTTTATCTTTGTTTTCTGTTATTCGGCAATTAGTGTTTGGTTTTAGCATGTTGATAATGTTTAGGGGAATTTTCTTTGGACTGATTGAAGAGCAGTGTAGTAGCTTATTGATGAATGCGATTGAGGACAGTTTGTGGAGATTGCCATCATGCTTTGCATTTTGAACAGACATTTTATGCTCCAGTATTTGCCAAGTAATAGGTGGAATAAAGTAGTGAAATACTTGGCTCTTATGCTTTTCATGGCTTATATGTATGGATATGATTAAATAATGTTGACTGATATTTTCACTGTTCTATAAGTTTTTGAACCATTTTCTAACTGTATATTTGTTAATTGGGGAGACCATGTTGGTCTGTGGGTAAAAAAAGTTGTAGTTTATTGAATAACGTGAATATTTGCTTCTTCTGTGATTCATTTATATTGATCTTTTTCCCTTTATAGGTGGAATCAGTGTTAGACAAGGAAAATTTCACGTTGGAAGAGCTGCTGGATGAGGAAGAAATAATCCAAGAATGCAAAGCCTTAAACAGTCGTCTCATCAATTTGTAATTCTTTTCTCATTTACACATTTAGCTTGGCTTTCAAACAATCTTAACAGCCTCCTTGTTATTGTTAGAAATTAGAGAATACAGTATGGAATTTGATGTTTATGATGAATGTTTGTTATCTATTACTTCGTGCAGTTTACGAGACAGAGCCCAAGTGGAGCAGTTATTGCGGTATATAGTTGAAGAAGCCCCTGAGGATGCTGAAAGCAAACGGGCTTTCAAGTTTGTTACTCTTCATAGAAACTTAATTCCCTTATGTTTATTTCTTTTGTTGTATCTTCTTTCAAGGCAAGATTTTCTTTCTTATTTATGATATATGTTATACCTCTTTTGTTTAGGTTTCCCTTCATTGCATGTGAGATATTTACCTGCGAAATCGATGTAATTCTCAAGACACTGGTGGAGGAAGATGAGGTAGCTGATTTTTTTTTTTTTTTTTTTTTGTAGGACATGTATTCCCTAGGTTGTAGATGTAATTTCATTTGCTTTAGTGCTCTAGTTTCATTTGTTTTTCTTGGCATTGCAGCTTATGGACTTGCTTTTCTCCTTCTTGGAACCAAACCGCCCTCATAGTGCTTTACTGGCTGGGTATTTCAGCAAGGTATGATGTCATGATTTCAAATTGTGATGTTTCATGGCAATATTCATCTGACTTTGGCCTTTTTATTTTATTTTTATATATACACTTGACAAATGCTATTTGATGTGACATTTAAGGTTGTTGTGTGCCTTATGTTGCGGAAGACGGTTCCACTTATGAACTACGTTCAAGTAAGTATTCATATCCACTTACCTTTTTGGTAAAGGTGCTGTTGCGTGTTCTTTCTATTGTATTACCTGTTGCATGGTTTACTGTCATGACATTTGTTGGAGGTTTTGTTGTTGGTCTGTTGCTTTGATTTCTGCTGTTCTTTCACCTTTGTCCAAATTTAAGTTCCCATGAATAATCTGCACTCAATTCTCTGGTCACACTTTTCTGCCTTACTATTGCTACTGTTCTGTCTACATCATCTTGATGTGGTGGTAACATGCTTGTTAAACAGGTACATGGTTATACTTTGCTTGGCACTGCATGGTCACTCTGCTGTTTGTTTGCTTGTATGAATTATATTGTTTTGAAGTTCCCCCTAAAGTAGACAAGTTTAAAACAGTTGAAATGTGCCATCTTTAGTTTGGTTACTTAATTTAGATGCACAAGGGGTAAAAGCTCTAGAAAATCATGCTTCTTCCTGCAATTTAATACATAAGCAAACTGGACCTTTATTTCAGTAAGGTCTGTTCTCTGGCCTTAGTATTGAGCTTATTGTTAGGTCGTAAGAAGTTTCTATTGCCAATTATATTTTGCATGCCAGAGTTATTCTTTTAAAATGCTGTCTGTTAAGTTTGGCTGATAAGTTGTACTCTCAAATGATGTATTCTATCAAATTGTTTTTAATTTAGGTCTGTTTGACTTTTTTGCAGGTCCATCCAGATGTTTTCCGCCAGTTGGTTGATTTGATAGGGATCACCTCTATCATGGAGGTAGGGTACTAAGACTTCTTTTCATTTTTAAATTTTGATTTCGATGGTGGTTTATATACACACAGACATACATATATATAACTGACACAAAACAAATACATCATTTCTTGTGTATATCTGCATTTAAGTTCTAATCTGCGATGATCTCTTTTTGCAGGTTTTGGTTCGGCTTGTGGGTGCTGATGATCATGTATATCCCAATTTTATGGATGTGATGCAATGGCTGGCTGACAGCAATCTGCTTGAAATGATTGTAGATAAATTAAGTCCATCTGTAAGTTAAATTTCACTCTTTTCCTTTCATTTTTTTCCTGTAATGACCTTAGTCATGTTGCCACTTGTATGTGTGATCACAAATGCTATTTAATTACCTCTTTTGGATAGTCCATATGGAAGGGGTATTCATGTTCCACTTTTTCCTTCGTTTACCCAAAGAAGAGCTGCAAACCTTTCTTGAAAAATAAGGTCAATAGAATGGTTCTGCGAGAATATGGAGTTTATTGTGGATATTATGAATAAAAAATTAAAGTGAACAGTATGGTTTTAAGATGTTAGCTGGAAAAAGTCACTGTTAACCTTGCATTTGTTCGTGGACTAACTAACAAATCCTTTTACTCGTGCAGGGTCCTCCTGAAGTCCATGCTAATGCAGCAGAAACACTATGTGCGATAACTCGAAATGCTCCATCAGCCTTGGCCACAAGACTTGCAAGCCCAAGGTATTTGGGAATTTAAATTTCTCATTTAACCAGCTGTGTTTTCTGGTGTTTCATTCAATTTACTCTCATCATCTGTTTTTGTAATTATGTAAGTGATTTTTGTATCTTTGTTCTTATGCAGTTTCGTTGCAAGGATATTTGGTCATGCACTGGAAGATTCACATTCAAAGTCTGGCCTTGTCCACTCCCTTTCTGTGTGTATCTCCTTGTTAGATCCAAAAAGATCAGCAATTTCTTCTCCTCTGATGCATTCTTTTCGAAGCCAACATATGTATGAATCTCCAATCCCTGTAAATCCGGAGACCATTGGTGCAATGCTGCCAAAACTTAGTGAGTACTCCACATACTATTTTTCTCCCTTGCTTACTGGCTTTAAATTTTGGGTATATTGAGGTCAGGAAAAAGCGTGGCATCATATTTGAATTCCTTTTATTACCTTTAGCAAAGTTGATATGGACATGAAGATTTTCAAAAGGGTAACTTGTACTTGACTTTGTTATGAATTCTCCTTGCATGAATTTGTTTTGGATCATCATTTTAATCTAACTATAAGAACATTGGACAAATTTTGTGTTTGATTAAACAATCACAATTTTGGATTGTTTTAGTAACGGCCGAATCAAAGCAGAACTTACGCTTTTCTATTCCGAATATGACTGTAATTCCTTTGATAGCCATGATAGTGACTATTGCACATTGGTTTGCAGATGACTTGCTTATGCTTCTTAATGTTGCATCTGATGAGAAGATTTTGCCGACAACATATGGAGAACTGAGACCGCCTCTAGGGAAGCATCGCCTAAAGGTTGGTTTTATACATAATGTAAAATACATTCAGAACCCAATCTCTTTTCTTATGGAAATTGAGAGAGACTATTAGAGTTGGATGTTATAATTCCTAAGCACTCAGTCAATTTACAATATAGTAACAGAAGTGCTTGTGAGGCAGAAAATTCTCATCTCTGCTAGAAGCCCGAAAACAAATGTGTTGTCTAGTAATTCTCCAATTATTTACTTTGTAAGCGCTTTTATTATTAATTTCAGATTGTGGAGTTCATTGCTGTGCTATTGAAAACTGGCAATGAAGCTGCAGAGAAGGAATTGGTCAGCTCTGGAACCATTCAAAGAGTTCTTGATCTTTTCTTTGAGTAAGCATTTACTTTATTTTGTGATTTTGAATGCATGGATGATGGTGGATATTGTGTTTAGAAGAATCTTTCCCTGGGAGAGATGTTACTTAGTTCTGTATGTTTGTCTGTATGGTTGGCTAGACTAATATAATTATGTTATTTGTAACATTGCAGGTATCCATACAATAATGCATTGCATCACCATGTGGAGAGTATTATATATTCTTGCCTGGAGAGCAAGAGTGATAACATGGTGGATCATCTTCTTCGAGAGTGTGATATGATTGGGAAGATTCTCCAAACGGAAAAAGATCCTGTTCTTTTTGGCGAGTCCAGTAAGGTAGATAGATATACTAACTATAGATTATCAATTATCAATTATCAATGGTGCATACAGCCATAGCATGCAAATAATATGAATTAAATTTATGTTTGTTTGAACTAAATGCTTGAGAAGAACTAAGGAAAAACAAAAATTTATCAGAAGCTTTAGTTAGCCTTTGCATCACTTTCTTACTTCTCGTGTAAGGGAAATGAAAAATTATTTGTTTTGGATTATCATTCTCAAGTTTCATATAATGGATAATTTTCTATGTTTTTCTGTTGATTGAAAGAAAAATCTGATAATATGGAAATGTTCCTGGATCATGCAGCCAACTTTACCTGCTTCTGGGAAACGGGCACCACGGGCAGGAAACCTTGGACACATTACACGGATTTCTAATAAGCTTGTTCAATTAGCTAGCAGCAACAGCCACATTCAGACATATCTTCAGGTTGGTAATAGTCTGATTACATTATTGGGTGTGTAAAGGTTGAGTTTAAGAACAGGATCTGGCAAAGTGTTTGGTAATTGATTAAATTACAACTAGTTTCTGATTAGTCATTTCTACTTATTAGAATAAATGGATAAGGCCATTGTTCTCTATGACATTGATGAGAACTGATGAGACACATTTGCTGGATGAGTATGCATAAGTGGATGATCCACTGCTTTTGAAGCTTGTGGTTTATATAATGCGTCTTGTCAAAGTGACAGCATTCTTCGATCCAATTTCAGTGTTGAGTATTTTATAGAAGAAAACAACAGTAAAAGCATCACTATCTGTTCTTATCTAGCAAGGGGGAGGTTTCATGATTACACTTCTTTTTTGCATTAAGATGGATACTTTTGAATTGTTTAATTTTTTTTTTTTTTTTGGGGTCTTTGATATATATTATCTGTTATATTGTTTTGATAAATTTTGTCAATAACTTTCTTAATATTGCTTGATTTGTTCTGTAGGAAAATAATGAGTGGACCGGATGGCAAGTTAGTGTCCTGCAAGAGCGTAATGTAGTTGAAAATGTCTACCGATGGGCTTGCGGGTATGTTCTTGCCTCGTATCTTCTATGCATTCATATTAGTTGGAAATCTAATTAAAGGATCACTATGTGGGAATTTATGGGCATGAGTAACATATAAAATAAGTAATTTAGCATTTGGTGAAGTATGAAGTATAAAAAGACAATAGCATTTAATTTGATTTGCTTTTCGAAATTCAGACTGTTAGTAAAGGTGTTCTTTACCACTTCTGTTGCTATTGACCTCTTATCTATGTGCAAAGCACCAGAGTAGTCGTTTCCTTGTTTGATTTATTTGATAGTATTGAAGATGATTCTATCCTTATTGAGTTTTTTGTTTTTTGTTTTAATTCACAACAATTGTAACAATTTTAATTGGGAAGCATATCATTTCTTGTTATGTGCAGGCGTCCAACAGCTTTGCAAGATAGGACAAGGGACAGTGATGATGATGACCTTCATGACAGGGATTATGATGTTGCAGCTCTTGCAAATAACTTAAGTCAGGCTTTCAGATATAAAATATATGGGAATGATGATGCTGAAGAGGTATATCATTGTTCACAATTGTGCTCTTTCATATCTGTTCTAGTTTAAGTTGCTGACTTGTAATTTCTAACATTCGTGTTGCAGGGCCATGGAGCTCTTGATCGGGATGATGAGGTAATTATTTTGATTTTTTTTTTTTCGCACAGCAGTTGGTGGTAAGATTAGGATGGGTGTTTATAGTAAGATAGGATGGGTGAGCTTGAGGTAATAATATAAAATTAAGATAAAGTTGTAACTGAAGGGTTTTTTTTGAACTTTCTACTGAATTTGATTTGATCTTAAATTGTTTTCCAACACCAGGATGTCTACTTTGATGATGAATCTGCTGAAGTTGTGATATCATCACTGAGGCTTGGTGATGACCAAGGGAGGTAAATTTCTAAACTGTTATTGATAGTATTAATTATTGGTTGATTTGTGTACAAGTTTTTATCTCAAGATGAATGGTGGGTTTATATGATTGGCTGCACTATTTTTGCGTGGATAGTTTTTTTTATTTGCAACAGTAATAGTTTTTCTTGAATTTTTGCTTGTGTGATTTGATAGTGCGAGCTTAAAAAATTTCTAAACTAACTTAATAGGTGTAATTTTGACCCAAATGTCTGTAGTTCCTTTATTTGGGGAATTGAGTTAATACATGCTCTGTTTTCCAGAGAGAACATGCGACAACTAAGAATCACATGTCCTTGGCACAAAAATCAAAATAAAAATTACATGTCTTTTTTTTTGTCCTGGGGTGTTTGGAAATTAATATCCATTTTTCAAAAACAAAAAATATGAAGTGACTAATTCAACCCCTAAGACATTAAATGATAATGGATCATTTTAGAGTAAGGGGTGGTTGGGATTAATCTAATGAAATATCTGAGGGACAATTGATTAAGACGTGTAAAGTTACCATCCGCTTGACAATTTCTAAAAAGAACTGTGGGTACCTAGTGATTTTTCCCAGTTAAATTGTGATGCAGTCTGCATGCCACTCAATAAGACCAAGCACCATTCCCACCAATTGCTATTCACCTCCCAGTGGTCTGGTGACCACCGAAATCCCACTAACTGCTTATAGCCAGCATCCTGCAGCACTGCTGCTACCCCATTGCTACCACTGCAGCGGCAAAGCTAGTTCACGGTTCTGGGGGTTTTGGTCATCTGAAACTTTGGAAACTTCCACATTATGCCTTCCAGTTTTAAAAGGATATAGATGGAATCCCCTTTCTCCTATAATTATTATTCTATGTCATTGTCCCCACTGTGGCCTAACCCAATTTTCACATTTCTGCTGTCTAGTCTTTTAAATGAAGTGATACGAGCATAAAATTTGCAGCAAGTTCTTGAGAATCTAAAGTAAAAGCAAAAGCAAGTTGCATGTTTAGTTTTTTTCTTTCTTGAAATTAAGAAACTGTCATGATTTTATTGAGAGCCCTTCCAGCTCTGTTCTATCTAAATAAAATCACGCTTTAGCTTAATGGTCTATATTGGTTATTTAATACTGGAACAAGAAGCCATATCTAGTTTTTCTTTTTATAAGGCATTGAGCAATTAAATGATTCTAATCCATCCATTTTAATTTCTTTGGAGAATTCAACTGAATCCTATAAGAAAATTCTATTTACAGGCTCCTAGGAGTTAGTCATACATCTTGTTTCTTTGGCTTATTCAACAAAAACTTCAAATGGCTCAGCTGAATGTTTATGAATAGTTGTTTCTCTTGGTCAATTAGTGATGATGTGCAGTATTAATTAAGTTTTGTTTTGTGCAGTCTGTTCACGAATTCCAACTGGTTTGCCTTCCAAGACGACAGAATTGTTGATGCACCTGTGAGCACATCACCTTCAGAGATGATGGATGAGATAAACTTGAATGGAACTGCTAATGGTGGTAACAGCAGTAGTGATGATGAGGTGGTGGTTGGAGAAGATGATGAGTTGACTGAAAGTAAAGATTCTGTTAATGGCACATCCACTTCCAACACAAACTATGTGAATCCATTTTCTGGGGGTGATTCCACAAATAGTGGAAATTTGGATCCACAAAATGAGAAAGCAAATGCTTCCAATGATATGGGATTCTTCAGGTTTGACACACCAGAAAATAAAGACTTATTTGCTGATAGGCCTTTACCAGATTGGGAGGGATGGAGAGAATCATCAGATGTGCAAGTTGGTGGGTCAAGTCTGAATCCTTTTATTGATAATGACAATTCTGATGTTAACATTGCGAGTCACACCGAGGTTGCAACTTGTGACGCTACTTCACCATCAACTGCAGATTCCATAGTCCCAAATGGTTCTGTTACACCCATGGATTCTAGTGATGGATCTGCAAACAGTGATGGGAGTCAGAGATCTGCGGCAGTGCCCTCATTGTTCGAAGAGGATGTTGAATTTGTGGGTGTGGAATTAGAAGGTACTGAGAAGGCAATGGAACAGGCTCTTAAGGAGGGAATAGTTGGAGAAGCAGGGCCCTTAAAGAGGAACATTATCCCTAAGGTACCAGAAAAGGAAAATTCCGACGAAGGGGGAGCTGGTATTAAGGAGTTCAATGATGCAAACTACTGGAGGGTTGATCAAGAGGTAGCGGTTCTGGAGTGATGGTGGGTGGGTAGCTGTTTGGGTTGGCTGTTCCTGAAAGTTGGATCCTACAGTCAACCTCATTTTTGGCTGGGAAGGGCTGATGCAACAAGTGCATGTACAGTATATTTTTGTTTCCAGATCGTGATTGAACTGTAGGTTGTGTTATGGTTATTAATGTCTATTAGTTATTGTTAACTCTAACTGTTTATTATCTTAAGTTTTGTTTCTTGTTACTGATTTTTTGGATTTCCCATAGTCCCATCATATTTATATTTCTCATTTCTGGCTGAAATCAGTTTTGCTCTTTTATCAGTTTCTTGATGTAGGATTTTGATTAGAACTGCATTGTGAAATTTGAATCTCCCATTGGTCATCGCCTCGTATTTAATGGTTCGTTTTATATTTAATGATATGGTGTTGGTGGCAAGAGTAAGTGACATTAGGAAATGTCTGGATCGATGTTGTGTTAAATAATATGAAATTCAACTATTCAAGTTTGGTTAGTGGCTTAATGCGTTGAATCTGCAACGTAAACTATAGTAATAATAATAATAATAGTGTGTTTGTTTTGTTTTTTTGAGTAGGATTTTGAAATTCTATCCAATTATTCCGAAAATCTTTTGAGTGCGTTTAGTTTAATATTTGAATAATGTTATACTTTATTACTCTTTTACGTCATTTTTATTACATTATAATGTGGCATATGTCACAACCATATAAATTTTTAATTATTTTGAATTTTTAATATTGTAATAGAATTTGTGTAGTTGTAGCATATACTACATCATGATGTAATAAAAATAGTGTAAAAAAGTGGTGTAAGTGTAGTATTACTCTTGATATTTCTTTTTATATTCTCAATTTTATTCTCAAAATATTTGTTTATTTAATTATTTTGGAAATATTAGTATATTTTTTAATTACTTTTAGACCCCTTAAGTTCATTAATTTCATAAATACCCTTAGAAAAAAGTTTAAAAATTAACAAAAACACCTTCATCTACCCATAGTTATCAGATTTTGGCAATCATCGTCAGTGGTAGCTGGAATATGTCACAACAGCCTACAAACAATCTGAACTGGTTGGTAATTCATCAATCTGGCTTTTTTCGGTCAGATCTGTGTGGATCTGGTCGAAAAAGACCATATCAACGTTCTATCCGACAGATTCGATCGGTCTGCATCGTAATGCCATTTTTAGGTCAGATTCCGGCGATAATGGCTAGAATTTGGCATTGTGTGTAGGTGGGGATATTTTTGTTATTTTACAAAAATTTTATATATTGGGGTGTTTAGTTAAATTAGCAAACATATGGGGTTTTTTTTTTTTTTTGTTAATTTTTAAATTTTACTTCGTAATATTCACTCTATTCAACTACCCAATATTACTCCTAAAATTCTATCCAAAATAACAAAACAAACGGACCCTTATATATTTTGTTTTCTTATTTTGAAAATCTATTTATACTTTATTCAACTATTTTTAAACTCTCTATGTTTGTTAATTTAACTAAATACTCTTAACAAAAAAAAGTTTAAAAATTGATAAAAACATTCACATCTATCTATATTTGTCAGATTCTGGCCACTACCGTTGGAATTTGGTCTGAATTTGGCGTAATGTTGCACTACCAGCTTGATCTGGTTGGTAGTGCACCGATCTAGCATTTTTCGGACAAATCTATGGCTAAGGATCAACGACCAGATTTTTGGGTGTAGCTAGTTGTCAACAACAACCATATCTTTGGCCGTCATTGACGACCAAATGTGGTCAGATCTAGTCGTTAATAACCAGATCTGATCGTATATTTAACCTTTTTTGGTCAGATCTACAGTATATTTGGTCGAAACAAACCAGATCGATGCACGACTGGCTAAATCCAACCAATCGTGCGCCATTACTACGACATTTAATGGATAAGTAAAGATATTTTTGTTAATTTTTACTGTTTTATTGTAAGGGAATTTAGCAAATTAACAAAAATGCAATTAACAAATCTAGAAAGCGTTTTTGTTAATTTTTAAATTCTACCTCACAATAATCACCCAATTCAACTTTTTCAAAATTTCAACCCAAAATAATAAAACAGACCTGGATAACTTTTAAATCAGCAACCTATAATAATTAGATTAAGTTGATTTATTTTGTAGAGTAAACGACATGTTCCCACCCAAGGTTTATTGAAATCCTACAGTGGTACCACTGGTTTCATAAATTCCAGATTACCACCCTTAAATGGATGTCGTTAGTGACGACATAGGGGCATATAGTTCTTTTACCAAATTACCCTTGGACCTTCCCCTTCTTCATGTCCCCTTCTCTTCTTCGCAGCCCCTTCCAAACCCACCCCATCCCTAACCACCACCACAGCCTTTTTTTTCTTCTACCCATTCTATTTTTTCTTCCTCTTCTTCTTCTTCTCCCTCTCCTCCTCCTCTTCCTCTCTTTTCTTGCTTCTCCTCTCTTTCTTCTTCCCTTTTCTCCCTTGTCGGAATAAGCTCCAGCCGGCGGCTGGATTTGTGGCGGTTTGTGGTGGTTTTTGTGGCGGTTTGTGGTGGTTTTTGGGTGGGTTGTGAGTGATTTGATGTTGGATTTTGGGTGGTTTTGAGGCTGAACTTGTGAGCGATTTGGTGGTGATTTTGGTGGGGTGGTTGTGGCTGAATTTGTGAGTGATTTGGTGGATTTTGGTGGGTTTGTGACTGAATTTGGAGTGATTTGGTGGTGTTTTTGGGTTGGTTTGCACTGAATTTGTGATTTGTTTGGTGTTGGTTTTTGTGTGGTTTGTGGCTGATTTTGTGATGATTTGGTGGTGGTTTTTGGATGGGTTTGTGGCTGGATTTATGAGTAACCGTTTTCAGATGAAGGAAAAGAAGAAGATGGGAGGTGGAGGCAGAGATGAAGAAGAAATGGGAAGGGAAAAGAGAAATACAATTTTAGCCTTGAACGGATAAAAAAGAAACGGTATCCATTTAAGGGTGGGAATCTGGAATTTATGAAATCTGTGTACCACTCAGGATTTCAATAAACCTTGGGTGGAACATGTCGTTTACTCTATTTTGTGTATTCCGTAGTGGTTAACCGCGTTTAGTTTTCCCTTCTCCATAACCTATCAAACCCTTCCACGTGTTATAATTTGCAGATTGATGAGAAAATATGAAGCTTCCAGAATCCACTGGTAAGGCGCAAAAATTTTCGTGGTTGACAAGAAATAAAATGGCAAGTTCTACTTATTTGTTATTTTATTGATTGAGAGGATTCAAGCATCTGTTTGTGTGATTGCAATCGGAAGAGCAAGATGATTGAGGTGGTGTTGAACGATAGATTAGGGAAGAAGGTCCGCGTGAAATGCAATGAAGACGACACCATCGGCGACCTCAAGAAGCTAGTGGCTGCTCAGACAGGGACACGACCCGATAAAATTAGAATCCAAAAATGGTACACAATTTACAAAGACCATATCACTCTTAAAGACTACGAGATCCACGACGGCATGGGCCTCGAACTCTATTACAACTAAATTCTTCTACCAGTATGTTCCTCTTGTACTTGTTCTCTTTTATAGCCTCAAGATATGCATTCAATTGAGCTAAACATGCTGTGTGTTTTTTGTTTACAGGTACGTTGGGTCATATCAAATTGCATGGTGCTGCTGAGGTGTGTGTTCCGATTGTTGGAGTGAATGCCTTGTTTCTCAAGTAATATTGTCTCTGTGTAATGTGTGTTATTGACTTGTTTGGACATGTGAAAAACAAGTAACTGCTGAACTCTGTTTGCATGTTATTTTGTCCTCTGTAATCTGTGCAACTAATATAAGTCAATCCTGGATTAGTCGCTTTATCTCTTTTTTCTTAATTTCTTTAGCAAGTCTTCATGATTTGATTGATAATTTTTGTCATGTTTAGCTAGTTTATGTTAACTTATCTGCAACATTAGCAGAGTTGTTGTTCTCATCTGTGTTAGGGTCTATGATCATTTCACTTAATTATATGATTAGAATAGTTTCAGCAGTCCCTGTTTACTTTCTCAGCATAATTGAAGACCTCAAGAGGTGTTATAGCAATTAGCAACCTAAATAGATTTAGATGGACTGAAAACTATTGAATCTAATTAGGATAGCGAGATAGTGTTTATTTCTTTTCTTTTCAGTGCTGCAGATCAAACTTTCATTGAAAAAATGTCATCAATTATTATATTAGGGTCTAATCGGTGGTGGACACTTTTCTTATGAACAGTCGTTTCTATAGTGGCAAATGTCCTGTTGTTACAGAATATGTTATGTATTGTTGTCTCCAGTTATGACTTACCTATTTCTGTCTCTAATGTACTATAAATTTGTGATTCTGCATGAGGCTCGAATGAAGGGTAAGACTTTCCCGAGTTGTATTGCTTCATATTGGCGATCATTTGCATATTTCAGCTCTGACTACAATATTGGGGCATTTCTCACCATTGTTTTACCATGGACTGGTAACATTTAATAAGACATTTGTGACATGAAACTGTAAACTTGGAACAATATGACTCTTATAAAGTGGAATAGACTTGTATGAACGGATGTTAGAAATTTCATGTCAAGCAAAAGTTGTCACCAATATTGTAGCAGATTCCTAATATCTCTGATGATCATTTTACCCTTTTATTTTATACAAATATACTATGTCTGATAGCATGCTTTAGGGCTTTCAGAATTGGAAGCTTTATTGGCCTTATCAGGAATAGTAGGTAGAAAAAATTTGAAATTCATAATGCTGTGCTACCGCCATTGATTGCTACTTAGAATGTTTTATCTAACTTTATTACTTAATGGGCGACAAGAGCCAGTTGCCTAAGCGGAATCCACTAGATTATGCAATAATTGTTGAAATCTTGGAAAGAAATGAGCTTGATAAATTGAGTTCTGCACAGTACTGGTTTGTTTATTGTCTGTGGGAGGTGGGAAAAAAAAGTTGATTTATGACATTGTCAAATCCTTGTAACACTTATCTGGCAGATAACTAGAGAAACGAGTGAATTAATGGAGCAGAGTTGAATCTGTTTTTTTGTTTTCCACAGTTACAATACTCCTGGTTGAAATTTGTTTATATTTGTTATTTGATGTCATTATGTGGTGTATTTTCTGCATTAATAAAGATAGACTCACAACTCAATTTTATAAACTTTCTCTCACAAACCCAATGTGGCAGTTTGCAATTGGTCAGTTTGCAATTTGATAGGTGGAATCCATTGCGAACTGATCAATTGCGAGCTGCCATTAAGGGTTGTGAGATAAAGTTTGTGCAATTGGGTTATTTTATTATTTTAGATAGGATTTTTGAAAAAGTTGAGTTGGGTGGTTATTACGAAGTAGGATTTAAAAATTAACAAAAACTTTCTCCTAGGTTTGTTAATTTGGCTAAACAACTCTACGATAAAACATTAAAAATTAACAAAAACATCTTCACTCACCCATTAAATATTGGTAGTCGGTCACCACCATAAGAGAGTGGCCGAAAGTCGTCGTAATGGCGTATGACTAGTTGGATCTGATTGGTCGTGTTTCGATATGGTCTTTTCTGGTCAGATTCATCATGGATCTAGTCATTGACGGCTAGATCTGGCCATGTTTGGTCGTCAACGATAGTCAAGATATGACTAACGTTGACGATCAGCAAATGTGAGTGGGTGGGGGTGTTTTTGTTAATTTTTAAATATTTTTTTGAGGTGTTTAATTAAATTAACAAATCTAGGGGGAGTAAAATAGACAATGATTTTCATAATGGGGAAATAAAAGTGTATTTTAGGTAAGATACGGATAGGATGGTGTAGAAATAACAAAATAAATGCAACCTAATCAGTTTGTGATTATGAGCTGAATTGGAAGGTGGTGGTTGCCATGTCCACGACAATAATGATTCTAATTCTTGATGAATCTAAATTATGTGGAAACGGCATTATTTTAATGTTGACAAATTGCCACTTGGTATTCTAATTCATGATGATACTTCACCAGTTTACCAATACCCACTTGGAGTATGTTGCAGAAACTTGTAAATCATCTTTGGATAATTGCTGGTATTTGGGTAATGATCACGCAAAACTCCATTAACATAAATGTCTACAGTAAGTTATGAACCCATTTTTCGTCGTATCTTTATCCTTTTATTAGTTGCTTCTTCATGCATTCAACTTTTAGCAATAATGGCGAAATCTTTCTCTCCAACTACTCTATCTAATGTGTATCTAGAGGTTGTTAGGTCATGCCATCTGAACTGTTTGCCCATTAATGATGATTTTATATAATTTTTTGAATTAACACGACTGTTTCTGTTGACATGCGAATATAAAATAAGAATATGTGACATTATTCTCATTCTTATTGTATTTTAGATATTATTTTCTTTTCTTTCTTGCAGAAATTACATTATTATTGTGATATTTTTTTATTTTTACATAATTATTACACTTTTGTATAAATAAGCTATTTATTCAATTGCAATTCACAACAATTTAATACATTTAATTCAATTCAATTGAGTATAATTCTTCATTCTCAAATATATCTCTTGAACATATTTATCTCTTGGACATACTTTCAGTTTTTTTCAATTGTCTCCTTAATTCTAACATGATATCAAAACTTCTCTGACAATTTTAATAGTTTCAATTGCATATTTAAACTTACCAGCCAACATTTTAATCCATGGACAATTCGGGAAGCATATTGTTGAAATGGGAGTTTAAAACTTGAATGTTGGCAAATTGTGGAGAAGATATTTGGTCGCTGTTTGAATATTGAAAGTTGGTTTCAAAATGATTCTAAATTTTCAACCGCATAATGCCATATTAGATGCCGTTTCTGGAGTCAATCAAACATTAAGTAGAATAAAAATGACATATCTTTCTTATTTTCCTCTTTACTATTAAGCATACCTCTCATGTAGAGTACTGTTGTCGGTTGACAATCATGTCATCATCCCAACAATAATTTTGAAAAGATAACCTAATAATCTTCTTTTTTCAAAAGAAATTAATTTGTATTAGATACGTATACTTTATTTAAGATTAGTATTGTTCATGCATCTCTCCCCGATTTAGATAAGAAAAAACAAATTAATCAAAAACTTTACTTAATATTGATTTGTAAACAATGAGCTAATATAAGTTATTATAAATATAACTACTTATATAAAGATGAGAGATTGAGAGTGAACATTTAAGGGTGAACATAGGTAAAGGGTAGAACCAGAACAAGAGGATACTCACCTATCGATTCTAGATGGGAATCAGAATTGGTCCCATTAGGGTATGGTTTCAGTTCTGAAAAATTGGAACCAAGAATTCTCGAGTTCGATTTTGGTTCTAACATTGAATAGAAAATCGAGAACTGGAACTGGAATCGGAATTGAGGTATGGGTACCCGGGTAGGAAACAAAAAGACTGAATTGTAATTTTTGTAAACTATTAGTAGTGTATTTGTATTTTTTGGGGGTGTATTTGTTATTTTTTAAAAAAGTAGGAGATAGGAGGTAGGAAGTTAACCCGAGTATCTAGAATCGAAACTATGTTTCAGGTTTCTAAGAATTGGAGCTGGGTAATTTTGATTTAGATTCCAAATCTTAAGAATCCATTGATTTAGATTTCGACTTGATTCCTTAAAAAAAAAAAATATAGGTATCTGAAACGATTATCTATAATGGACAACACCAAGATAATTTATCTTCAAATTAATAAAATTTCCCTAGGAAAAATTCTTTAAAGCATTTTACAAATTTGTCTTCTCGTGAATTTACCGTTGGCCATTAAACGATATATCAAGCGTCCAAGTTCTCACCTCACGAGAACTAAGTTGGTTCCTGTACATTAATGTGGACCATAGTGAAACAATTTCTCATTTTCTTGCCGACTGTACTTTAATGTACATTGGGTAAAAAGTGAACCTGGGAAAAATCTGGACCATACAACCAACTATGAAAGCGAATCTAACCATACACGTAACGCATTAGTTGGTGCCTTCGACGCTTACACGTAATAGGCAACGTCAACCTAACAGGAAAAGAACAGTGGGATCCACCGCACGAACGGGGATTCTTGCCACGTCACCAAATCCCTGTCTTTTGTGCTGAAGACTTTTTGCTGAAATAAGCTGTCAATTTATTATTTTAAAATTATAAAATTTGATAACATTCACATTTTAAATTCAGCGACACCTTCGTCCAAATTTATTGCTTATTTACAACGATCTTAAAGACTACGAGATCCACCGGCATGGGCCTCGAACTCTATTACAACTAAATTCTTCTACCAGTATTTCCTCTTGTACTTGTTCTCTTTATAGCCTCAAGAATCATTCAATTGAGCTAAACTGCTGTGTGTTTTTTGTTTACAGGTACTTGGATCATATCAAATTGCATGGTGCTGCTGAGGTGTGTGTTCCGATGTTGGAGTGAATGCCTTGTTTCTCAAGTAATATTGTCTCTGTGTAATGTGTGTTATTGACTTGTTTGGACATGTGAAACAAGTAACTGCTGAACTCTGTTTGCATGTTATTTTGTCCTCTGTAATCTGTGCAACTAATTAGTCAATCCTGGATTAGTCGCTTTATCTCTTTTTTCTTAATTTCTTTAGCAAGTCTTCATGATTTGATTGATAATTTTTGTCATGTTTGCTAGTATATGTTAACTTATCTGCAACATTAGCAAGTTGTTGTTCTCATCTGTGTTAGGGTCTATGATCATTTCACTTAATTAATGATTAGAATAGTTTCAGCAGTCCCTGTTTACTTTCTCAGCATAATTGAAGACCTCAAGAGGTTTTATGCAATTAGCACACCTAAATAGATTTAGGACTGAAAACTATTGAATCTAATTAGGATAGCAGATAGTGTTTAGTTTCTTTTCTTTCAGTGCTGCAGATCAAACTTTCATTGAAAAAATGTCATCAATTATATTAGGGTCTAATCGGTGGTGGACACTTTCTCATGAATAGTCTTTCTATAGGGTAAATGTCCTGTTGTTACAGAATATGTTATGTTTGTTGTCTCCAGTTATGACTTACCTATTTCCGTCTCTAATGTACTATAAATTTGTGATTCTGCATGAGGCTCGAATGAAGGGTAAGACTTCCCGAGTTTGTAGCTTCATATTGGCGATCATTTGCATATTTCAGCTCTGACTACAACATTGGGGCATTCTCACCATTGTTTTACCATGGACTGGTAACATTTAATAAGACTTTGTGACATGAAACTGTAAACTTGGAACAATATGACTCTTATAAAGTGGAATAGCCTTGTATGAACGATGTTAGAAATTTCATGTCAAGCAAAATTGTCACCAATATTGTAGCAGATTCCTAATATCTCTGATGATCATTTTACCCTTTTATTTTATACAAATACACTATGTCCTGTGCATGCTTTAGGCTTTCAGAATTGGAAGCTTTATTGGCCTTATCAGGATAGTAGGCAGAAAAAATTTGAAATTCATAATGCTGTGCTACCACCATTGATTGCTACTTAGAATGTTTTATCTAACTTTATTACTTTGGGCGACAAGAACCAGTTGCCTAGCGGATCCACTAGATAATGCAATATTGTTGAAATCTTGGAAAGAAATGAGCTTGATAAATTGAGTTCTGCACAGTACTGGTTTGTTTATTGTCTGTGGGAGGTGGAAAAAAAAATTGATTTATGACATTGTCAAATCCTTGTAAACTTATCTGGCAGATAACTAGAGAAACGAGTGTATTAATGGAGCAGAGTTGAATTGTTTTTTTGTTTCCACAGTTACAATACTTCTGGTTGAAATTTTTTTATATTGTTATTTGATGTCATTTGTGGTGTGTTTCTGCATCAATAAGATGGACTCACAATTCAATTTTACAATTTCTCTCACAAACCCATATGGCAGTTTGTAATTAGTCAGCTTGCAATTTGATAGGTGGAACCCATGCAAACTGATCAATTGCGAGCTGCTCATGGGTTGTGAGATAAAGTTTGTGAAATTGGGTTGTTTTATTATTTAGATAGGATTTTTGAAAAAGTTAAGTTGGGTGTTATTACGAAGTAGATTTAAAAATTAAACATTCTCCTAGGTTTGTAAATTTAGTTAAACAACTGTACGATAAAACATTGAAAATTAACAAAAATCACTTCACTCACCCATTAAATGTCGGCAGTTGGCCATCACCGTAAGAGAGTGGCTGAAAGTCGTCGTAATGCGTATGATTTGTTGGTCTGGCGATCGTGTTTCGATATGTCTTTTTTGGTCAGATTCATGTGGATCTAGTCATTGAGAGTTAGATCTGGTCACGTTTGGTTGTCAACGGCAGCCATGATATGACTAACTTGACGACCAACAAATGTGTGTGTGAGGGTGTTTTTTGTCATATTTTAAACATTTTTTTGGGGCATTGTTAAATTACCAAATTGAATAGTTGGAGAAGCAGGGCCCTTAAAGAGGAACATTATCCCAAAGGTACCAGAAAAGGAAAATTCCGACGAAGGGGGAGCTGGTATGAAGGAGTTCAATGATGCAAACTACTGGAGGGTTGATCAAGAGGTAGCTGTTCTGGAGTGATGGTGGGTGGGTTCCTGTTTGGGTTGGCTGTTCCTGAAAGTTGGATCCTACAGTCAACCTCATTTTTGGCTGGGAAGGGCTGATGCAACAAGTGCATGTACAGTATATTTTTGTTTCCAGATGGTGATTGAACTGTAGGTTGTGTTATGGTTATTAATGTCTATTAGTTATTGTTAACTCTAACTGTTTATTATTTTAAGTTTTGTTTCTTGTTACTGATTTTTTGGATTTCCCATAGTCCATATTTATATTTCTCATTTCTGGCTGAAATCAGTTTTGCTCTTTTATCCGTTTCTTGATGTAGGATTTTGATTAGAACTGCATTGTGAAATTTGAATCTTCCATTGCTCATCGCCTCGTATTTAATGGTTCGTTTTATATTTAATAATATGGTGTCGGTGGCAAGAGTAAGTGACATTAGGAAATGTCCGGAACGATGTTGTGTTAAATAATATGAAATTCAACTATTCAAGTTTGGTTAATGGCTTAATGCGTTGAATCGTCTGCAACGAAAAGTATAATAATAATAATAATAATAATAATAATAATAATAATAATAATAAGTGCGTTTGGTTTATTATTTTGGATAGGGTTTTAGGAATAATATTAGGTAGTTGAATATGGGAGTATTACGAGGTAAAATTTAAAAATTTATAAAAAAAATCTATAGGTGTACTAATTTAATTAAACATCCCAATATATAAAATGACAAAAATACTCCCACTACCGGTAGTGTCAGATTCTACCCACTACTGTCGGAATCTGGTCGAAAAATTGTGTTACGACACAGACTAGTCGGATATGTGTCATAACATGATTTGGTCGAAAAATGACAGATCTATGACCAAATGTGGCTGTCGACAGCCGGAAAAGGCCAAAAAAGTCTATCTTTGGCCGTCAGTGATGACCAAAGATATGGTCGTAGTTTTCGGTCAATGATGGAGATTTCTTTGCGACGACCAGATTGGTGAACTATCAGCCAGTGGCCGTCGTGGTGTAGGCCGTTGTATAGATTCTGGCTACCACCGATGGTGGTTACCGGAATCTGGCAAGTATGGGTTAATAGAGTGTTTTTGTTAATTTTTAAACTTTTTTTGGGGGATATTTTATGAAATTAATGAACTTAAGGGGTCTAAAAGTAATTAAAAAAATATAGTAATATTTCTGGAATAATGTGTCAAACAATATTTAAAGAATAGGATTGAGAATATGGATAAAAATATTAAACCAAATGCACACAATTAATATGATAGTGTGTTTGTTTTGTTATTCCCAACTATTCTGAAAATCTTTTATATTTTGTTTTCTTATTCTGAAGGTTCATTATACTTTATTCAACTATTTTTAAACTCCATAGGATTATTAATTTAACTAAATACTTTTAACAAAAAAAAGTTTAAAAATTGATAAAAACACTCACATCTATCTATATTTGTCAGATTCTGGCCACTACCATTGGAAGTTGGCCCGAATTTGACGTAATGTCGTACTACCAGCTGGATCTAGCTGATAGTGCAACGATTTAGCCTTTTCCGATCAAATCTACGGCTAAACATCAATAGCTAGATTTTTGGCCCTAGTCGATTGTCAACAACAACGATATCTTTGATCGTCAATAGCCATATATGGTCGTATATATGACATTTTTCAGTTAAATTCACGATGGATCTGATCAAAAAATGTCATATCGATGCACAACTAGCTAGATCCAGCCAATCGTGAGCCATTACTGTGACATTTAATGAGTGAGTAAATATATTTTTATTAATTTTTAATGTTTTATTGTAAAGGAATTTTAACAAATCTATAAAATATTTTTATTAATTTTTAAATTCTAGCTCGTAATAACCACACTACTCCATTTTTTCAAAAATTACTCAAACTAATAACAAACGCAAATGTTGGTTAATTTTTTAAATCATATGCAACCTATTAAGTTGATTTATCTTGTATTCCGTAGTGGTTAACCGCGTTTAGTTTTCCCTTCTCCATAACCTATCAAACCCTTCCACGTGTTATAATTTGCAGATTGATGAGAAAATATGAAGCTTCCAGAATCCACTGGTAAGGCGCAAAAATTTTCGTGGTTGACAAGAAATAAAATGGCAAGTTCTACTTATTTGTTATTTTATTGATTGAGAGGATTCAAGCATCTGTTTGTGTGATTGCAATCGGAAGAGCAAGATGATTGAGGTGGTGTTGAACGATAGATTAGGGAAGAAGGTCCGCGTGAAATGCAATGAAGACGACACCATCGGCGACCTCAAGAAGCTAGTGGCTGCTCAGACAGGGACACGACCCGATAAAATTAGAATCCAAAAATGGTACACAATTTACAAAGACCATATCACTCTTAAAGACTACGAGATCCACGACGGCATGGGCCTCGAACTCTATTACAACTAAATTCTTCTACCAGTATGTTCCTCTTGTACTTGTTCTCTTTTATAGCCTCAAGATATGCATTCAATTGAGCTAAACATGCTGTGTGTTTTTTGTTTACAGGTACGTTGGGTCATATCAAATTGCATGGTGCTGCTGAGGTGTGTGTTCCGATTGTTGGAGTGAATGCCTTGTTTCTCAAGTAATATTGTCTCTGTGTAATGTGTGTTATTGACTTGTTTGGACATGTGAAAAACAAGTAACTGCTGAACTCTGTTTGCATGTTATTTTGTCCTCTGTAATCTGTGCAACTAATATAAGTCAATCCTGGATTAGTCGCTTTATCTCTTTTTTCTTAATTTCTTTAGCAAGTCTTCATGATTTGATTGATAATTTTTGTCATGTTTAGCTAGTTTATGTTAACTTATCTGCAACATTAGCAGAGTTGTTGTTCTCATCTGTGTTAGGGTCTATGATCATTTCACTTAATTATATGATTAGAATAGTTTCAGCAGTCCCTGTTTACTTTCTCAGCATAATTGAAGACCTCAAGAGGTGTTATAGCAATTAGCAACCTAAATAGATTTAGATGGACTGAAAACTATTGAATCTAATTAGGATAGCGAGATAGTGTTTATTTCTTTTCTTTTCAGTGCTGCAGATCAAACTTTCATTGAAAAAATGTCATCAATTATTATATTAGGGTCTAATCGGTGGTGGACACTTTTCTTATGAACAGTCGTTTCTATAGTGGCAAATGTCCTGTTGTTACAGAATATGTTATGTATTGTTGTCTCCAGTTATGACTTACCTATTTCTGTCTCTAATGTACTATAAATTTGTGATTCTGCATGAGGCTCGAATGAAGGGTAAGACTTTCCCGAGTTGTATTGCTTCATATTGGCGATCATTTGCATATTTCAGCTCTGACTACAACATTGGGGCATTTCTCACCATTGTTTTACCATGGACTGGTAACATTTAATAAGACATTTGTGACATGAAACTGTAAACTTGGAACAATATGACTCTTATAAAGTGGAATAGACTTGTATGAACCGATGTTAGAAATTTCATGTCAAGCAAAAGTTGTCACCAATATTGTAGCAGATTCCTAATATCTCTGATGATCATTTTACCCTTTTATTTTATACAAATACACTATGTCCGATAGCATGCTTTAGGGCTTTCAGAATTGGAAGCTTTATTGGCCTTATCAGGAATAGTAGGCAGAAAAAATTTGAAATTCATAATGCTGTGCTACCACCATTGATTGCTACTTAGAATGTTTTATCTAACTTTATTACTTAATGGGCGACAAGAACCAGTTGCCTAAGCGGAATCCACTAGATAATGCAATAATTGTTGAAATCTTGGAAAGAAATGAGCTTGATAAATTGAGTTCTGCACAGTACTGGTTTGTTTATTGTCTGTGGGAGGTGGAAAAAAAAATTGATTTATGACATTGTCAAATCCTTGTAAAACTTATCTGGCAGATAACTAGAGAAACGAGTGTATTAATGGAGCAGAGTTGAATTAGTTTATTTGTTTTCCACAGTTACAATACTTCTGGTTGAAATTTGTTTATATTTGTTATTTGATGTCATTCTGTGGTGTGCTTTTCTGCATCAATAAAGATGGACTCACAATTCAATTTTACAAATTTCTCTCACAAACCCGATATGGCAGTTTGTAATTAGTCAGCTTGCAATTTGATAGGTGGAACCCACTGCAAACTGATCAATTGCGAGCTGCTACTAGGGGTTGTGAGATAAAGTTTGTGAAATTGGGTTGTTTTATTAGTTTAGATAGGATTTTTGAAAAAGTTAAGTTGGGTAGTTATTACGAAGTAAGATTTAAAAATTAAAACTTCCTCCTAGGTTTGTAAATTTAGTTAAACAACTGTACGGTAAAACATTGAAAATTAACAAAAATACCTTCACTCACCCATTAAATGTCGGCAGTTGGCCATCACCGTAAGAGAGTGGCTGAAAGTCGTCGTAATGGCGTATGATTTGTTGGATCTGGCCGATCGTGTTTCGATATAGTCTTTTTTGGTCAGATTCATCGTGGATCTAGTCATTGATAGTTAGATCTGGTCACGTTTGGTTGTCAACGGCAGCCATGATATGACTAACGTTGACGACCAACAAATGTGAGTGGTGAGGGTGTTTTTGTCAATTTTTAAACATTTTTTTGGGGCATTTGGTTAAATTAACAAATTTAGGGGGAGTAAAATAGACTATGATTTTCAGAATAGGAAAATAAATGTGTATTTTAGGTAAGATACGGATAGGATAGTGTAGAAATAACAAAACGAACGCAACCTAATCAGTTTGTGATTATGAGCTGAATTGGAAGGTGGTGGTTGCCACGTCCACGACAATAATGATTCTAATCCATGATGAATCTAAATTATGTGGAAATGGCATTATTTTTATGTTGACCAATTGCCACTTGGTATTCTAATTCATGATGATACTTCACCAGTTTACCTATACCCACTTGGAGTATGTTGCAGAAACTTGTAAATCATCTTTGGATAATTGCTGGTATTTGGGTAATGATCACGCAAAACTCCATTAACATAAATGTCTACAGTAAGTTATGAACCCATTTTTCGTCGTATCTTTATCCTTTTATTATTTGCTTCTTCATGCATTCAACTTTTAGCAATAATGGCGAAATCTTTCTCTCCAACTACTCTATCTAATGTATATCTAGAGGTTGTTAGGTCATGCCATCTGAACTGTTTGCCCATTAATGATGATTTTATATAATTTTTTGAATTAACACGACTGTTTCTGTTGACATGCGAATATAAAATAAGAATATGTGACATTATTCTCATTCTTATTGTATTTTAGATATTATTTTCTTTTCTTTCTTGCAGAAATTACATTATTATTGTGATATTTTTTTATTTTTACATAATTATTACACTTTTGTATAAATAAGCTATTTATTCAATTGCAATTCACAACAATTTAATACATTTAATTCAATTCAATTGAGTATAATTCTTCATTCTCAAATATATCTCTTGAACATATTTATCTCTTGGACATACTTTCAGTTTTTTTCAATTGTCTCCTTAATTCTAACATGATATCAAAACTTCTCTGACAATTTTAATAGTTTCAATTGCATATTTAAACTTACCAGCCAACATTTTAATCCATGGACAATTCGGGAAGCATATTGTTGAAATGGGAGTTTAAAACTTGAATGTTGGCAAATTGTGGAGAAGATATTTGGTCGCTGTTTGAATATTGAAAGTTGGTTTCAAAATGATTCTAAATTTTCAACCGCATAATGCCATATTAGATGCCGTTTCTGGAGTCAATCAAACATTAAGTAGAATAAAAATGACATATCTTTCTTATTTTCCTCTTTACTATTAAGCATACGTCTCATGTAGAGTACTGTTGTCGGTTGACAATCATGTCATCATCCCAACAATAATTTTGAAAAGATAACCTAATAATCTTCTGTTTTTCAAAAGAAATTAATTGGTATTAGATACGTATACTTTATTTAAGATTATTATTATTCATGCATCACTCCCAGATTTAGATAAGAATAAACAAATTAATCAAAAACTTTACTTAATATTGATTTGTAAACAATGAGCTAATATAAGTTATTATAAATATAATTACTTACATAAAAATGAGGGATTGAGAGTGAACATTTACGGGTGAGCATGAATAAAGGGTAGAACCAGAATCGGAGGATACTCGCCTATCGATTCTAAATAGGAATCATAATCAGTCCCATTAGGGTCTGGTTTCAGTTCTGAAAAATTGGAACCAAGAATTCTTGGGTTTGATTTCGGTTCCAACATTAAACCGGAAACCGAGAATCAGAACTAGAATCAGAATCGAAGTATGGGTATCTGGGTAGGAATCAAGACTGACTTGTAATTTTTGTAAACTGTTAAGAGTGTATTTGTAATTTTTTGGGGGTGTATTTATCATTTTTTTTTAAACTAGGAGGTAGGAAAATTAACCTAAGTACCTAGAACCAAAATTATGTTTCAGGTTTCTAAAAACTGGACCAGTTGATTTTGATTTCAATTCCAAATCTTAGGAACCGATCGATTTTAATTTTAACTCTGATTCTTTATAAAAATACAGGGTACCTAAAACCGATTATCAGTAGTGGACAACACCAAGATAATTTATCTTCAAATTAAACAAATTTCTCTTCTCGTGCATTTACCGTTGGCCATTAAACGATATATCAAGCGTTCAAGTTCTCACCTCACGAGAACTAAGTTGGTTCCTGTACATTGATGTGGACCATAGTGAAACAATTTCTCTTTTTCTTGCCGACTGTCCTTAATGTACATTGGGTAAAAAGTGAACCTGGGAAAAATCTGGACCATACAACCAACTATGAAAGCGAATCTAACCGTACACGTAACGCATTAGTTGGTGCCTTTGACGCTTACACGTAATAGGCAATGTCAACCTAACAGGAAAAGAACAGTGGGATCCACCGCACGAACGGGGATTCTTGCCACGTCACGAAATCTCTGTCTTTTGTGCTGAAGACTTTTAGCTGAAATAAGCTGTCAATTTATTATTTTAAAATTATAAAATTTAATAACATTCACATTTTAAATTCAGCGACACCTTCGTCCAAATTTATTGCTTATTTACAACGAATTTGTTTTAAATTGGATAAAGAAACCTTTTTTCCAAGCCAAACCTTTTTATAAAATGATTAATTTGTTTATTATTATTTTTAATTAAAAAAATCAGTGATTGGATTAGAATTTCGTAATCTGAACAATATTGAAGTGATTTTTATTAATTACCATAACATTCGTGTGGACTGGGTTCTCGGATCTTGTTATGTCTAGTGTGGGCCAACTGTTGTTAACATTTAAAACATCATTAATACCCTCTTTGTTTTGGATTCAACGCTCTATGGTCATTTTTTCTTTTCCTTCGGCCCTTGGTTTGGACAATCTTTTCTTAATACTATCAAACTTCTCAATAATTTCAAACACCCATCAAAATCACCTATTTTGACCACATTTTTTCACCTTCAAAATTTAATAATATTTTATCCAGTCACAATGGATAAGAATAAACTAAAAAAAAAAAAAAAAATGAAGATAAAAATGGTTATCCCAATATAGAGAGAAAACCAGTTCCCACAAATTAAGGGTTGGAACTGAAACCATTGAAAGGAATTGGAATGATACATTGAAAGATGGAGCCCTCCTAATAATTTCCCCACAAACACATTTAAAAGTTTTTGGCCCTAACTTCAAACCAAAATCATTGACCATTTGACTTCAATGGATCCACTAACATAAATATATATATTTTGTCTCTTCAATTGTAATTTCAATAAGATTCCAATGGATTCATTAGCTTTTATCAAATAATCAAAACATTGACAAATTAGCATTATAATGAAAAGTCTTTAAGGGGTAGACCAAACGGTCAAGGAGGTTCGTTTTCTTCCTTAAAGTTTTTTAGTTCAAACCTTCAATCCATCTACCACAATAACATTTGGCTGACTTGATCATTTGGGTTTGTAGGGTGTTCAATTGATCTTGGAGATTAGTTGAGTTGCGTACAAACTGGTCCGGATGCCCTAATTACAAAAAAAAAAAAAAATTATAATGAAAATGGGTTTGTTCAAAAAATAGGATTTTTATTAAATATAAAATATAAAATTGTGTCTTCAATTTTAAATAAATAAATAAAAGGAAAATTGGTTGAAGTGGGGAAACAAGTGGGCGAGAGAGTGGAGTCAATTCCAAGCCCAAAAAGGGACCAAAAAGCCCGACCACCCAAACGGCGACACAAATGGGACTGCACGTGATATTGGGGGCCTTGACTTCATAACTCCAACTTCCTTCTTGTTGGCAGTGGGACCTTCTCTCACGTGTGAATGACTGTGCTTATGTCAAATTTAATTAAATTTTAATCGTAATTAATTAACAACTGAATTGAAAATGCTGACATATTTATTTGGGATTGCAAACAGGGTCTTGTCTTGTTGTCTTAAAATTTAAAAAGGCAGACCAGACCCAGCTTGGCCGTCAAACTGCTGCTTCATCAGTCGAAACTCTTCATGTTTTCCGGATTTTCAGATCCCAATTAATCACTGAATCACATGATCCCAAAGTAAAATTTTGCAGCTTTTGATTTTTGACTGTCTGTCTATATGAATGTGGGCAATGTCCATTTCATCTTTCCCATTTTGAGTTTTTGTTTGATTATTATTATATTATTAAATTCTGTGTTCTTGTTTCATGACAAGACCCCATTTAAGAACATCACCTACTTTTAATCATAAATATGGTGAGGCCATTCAGTTGTTACACTAACAAAAGGGTCAATTCACATGAATTCCAAGAGCTAAGGTCAATAAGGAGAAGCCAAAATCTGCTTTCCATTAATGAATGAATAAACCCCACCAAACAGTATATTATTCAACTTCATTATGCATCAAGGGGAAATTAAACCATCAATTATACCTAATCTATTGAATAAGTTCAATTAGTTGTCCATTGTTTATGCTGGAATCTTTGTCAACCTTGACAGCATGCATATGCTGGAATCAGATCAAATCCCTGGATGTCTCCTGCCTCAACTTCACACTTGTGAAAGTATTGATTTGTGTATCAGAAAAATTGTCGTAAAAGAGTGTATGTAGTTTGCAGAAACATAAAACATATATAATGTTGCATAATATTATGCACCAATATCCAGTCAAACTGTAAACACATTCAGCAACAAACGAAAAATATTCAGCGGTCACCATAACAAATGCAGATTAAAATCCCGTCTCAACTAAACATATTAGGCTAACAAACTAGTAACAAATTCTAAACATCCATTTGTTCTTTGAACATCTAGCATAAATTCTGCAGTAACTATGCGAATATGCTCAGGGGACCTGTCTTGTTGGGAGCATTGAGTCCATTCTCAGTATTCCGCATACCTGTGATCCATGTCCTGCAAAACAGATTAATAACTTACATTAGTGAAAACAGTATACTAAACCTATCTAATGATATGAACAAACTTCTGAACTGAATAGCAGATTCTGACTGTTCAAAAATAAGTTGAAGAGATCTGAATACTTTCATGTGCATTGTGAAAGATTTACGCAAAATGTCCAAAATCATTTTCCATCCATTCCTTAGTTTGTGTAAAGCAGTGAGCAGAATGAGGTTTGGTCTTAGGTTTGACAATAACTAAGCTGATAGCATAAAGAGGTAAAAGAAGAAATCAAGTTTAGGTTTCTCTTTACCTTCCAACATTGTCACTGCCTGAACCCATCAGAATTGTTAATCTTTTGGCCGTTTTCATAAAATCACTGCAATGTCATCAAGGTGGAAGATCAAATAAACATAACAACCAAGGTCATTAACAACATCTACGATTGCAAATTGAAATAGCCATGTAGTTTTCACAGAGCCAAAACTAAAAAATATGCAAAAGTTTATAAATACTTGTGAAACAGATTTCCACAAATAATACCTGAATGGTTCATCTCCAGTTTGTTTAACAGCTCCAGTTGCATCTTGATAGAGAACATGGCTCAAAATCTCTGATCTTTCTATCCCGAACATGTTGGCTAGCCTCCTGTACAGCTCTTCGTAAGAACCAAGAACTGAGAGATCAAGAGTTCGTCCCACATCCTCTGATTCCATGAATACCTTGCAGTGACCAGTATCAAGGTCAGGTTCAGTCACTCGGAAACCCCGGTTCCAAAATATTTCAGAACTTGATGACTTCTCTGGTGAAATTTGCAGCTCACGTGTGGATCCTGAACCATCAGATGATGCTTTCACTCTGCCCGAATTGCCATCTGATGAACTTTTGCCAAGAACTTGTGAAACTGCATCACTGGAACAGCTGTGAGAGATCTGCTGCTCCGTGAGTATTGGTTGACCAAAGAGTAAAAACTGGTGCTTTTTCACGTTATCAGATTTCTCCAAATTCTGACTGGAATTTCCCATTGTTAGCAAACAAGACAAATTCTCATTATTGTGTGTGTGGTTTGTCATGATGCCATCAGAAATTCTGGAATGTGGATTAAACCGCTGTAAGCTGGATGAAAACAGCCCTGACTGCAGTTTGCTGTTAAGATGGAATTCTGATAAAGATATTCCAAAATGAGCATGCCTGGCTCCCTGTATGCCTGCAGGAGTGTTGTCAGGTAGACAACACAAGGGGCTGCTGGGCCCAAGGGGGTTGCCTGTAAATGACGGCACTGAAAATTGGCCGTCAAGGGGAAAGTCCAAGTGTTGCGGGAGCCGCAACTTCTTTCTTGGAGGTGAAAAGGGTGACAGGTGGACGACTGGCATGTTTGAAACCAGTTCAACTAACCATGGGCTAACACGTTTCACATTTTGTAGCAAATCTGGCTCATCCCATGTCACCTGGAAATTGGTATAAATAAGATGTAAGAAGGGATGATACAAGTAGAGATTAAAAAAACTCAAATTATTTAATGTTCAAAAACAAGTGATTTTTTCATTCAACAAGTATCCGCTAGAAGTTATGACATTGCATAATTGAACCTTACATGTGCATAGAGTGAGTAGATATAATGCAAAATAAATAACGTTCTTAATAAGCCATTAGGTCAAGTAGTTATTCAACATTTAAGACATAATCTGAAAAAGAACTGGACCAAAACAGAATCCCAATTACAAAGAAAAAAGGCATCTAGAAACTGAAAACTCCAAATAACAATTTAACTCAGACAAGCATCATAATAGAAGCATATACATTTGTAATTTGCCCAAGCATCTTAATTCGTGGATATACATAAATTATAAATGAATTTATTTGACAATGCTTAATAAATAGACAATATAACTCTTATAACGTATACACTAGATGGCGTAATTTGTACATGTATTAAATGCGCCAAAAAATATCTAATTATATGTGGAATTTATTTATAATCACAGGATGAATTGAACTTTTCTGTCAGGTGTAGTTAAGTGTATTAAATGTCCATTCAGTCGCCAAATAAAGCCATTTATTTAGAACAAAGATACCCCAACAAAACTCAAGGTAGAGATGCCATGCATGTGGTTCTTGTCAGTCAAGATGAGGATGATCTTCCCTCAACTAAAATGAGAAGGTACACCAGACAGATCTAACAATGTGGAATATTCAGCAATTTCAATCAAAGTAAAATATATTCTAAGATTGAAATAATATAGCTCTGTAATATTGACATGGTCCACAAGAACAACAACAACTACAGAATCCACAAAAGTCATTCCAGAAAACTGTTCTACAACTAGTCTTCCCGTAAATGTTACAGCCATATCATATTAAGGAAGTGTTTAAGTGTATACAAAATTAAGTTCAGAAAATTAAAAATTTGAAGCAATTAAGGCAACCAAAGTCCAATATACTGATGTATATATATAGACTTAAGAGAATATTGATAAACTGACACTTTTAAGGATCATTAATTTTGCAAATCAGGCTGGGAAGCTGAAATGCACTTCTGGCTACAAGAACATTAAAACATTTTACAAGCTTAATGTGAAGCAAACAATATCCACAAAACGATAATCAACAAAAATGAGAAGCCAACTTTAAAATATTAACAATCAAACACCTTTACCAAGAAAAAATTATCAAATCATAGAACTTGTACCTGGAGGAGTCGCCATGGTGAGTTAGGCCAGCGGATGGGATCAGAGACCTGAACAGAGGATATAGTTCCCATAAACCAACTTATCCTAGAAGAATCCTCTGTTTCAAAAGCCATCTTGAACCTCATTCCACAGTGCCAATGAACCCTCATTGCTGCCCTTACTGAAGAGGCCTTAACACAGAACTCTGGCGTGCTTCCCCGGGGATAATAAACAACCTCAAATGGCTTCCCACCCATCGCAAGTGCCACTGCCTCTGAAACAGTCTCAGGCCTTACTCTTCCACCATGGCCCCTCAGATTTCCACTCGCAGAAGAATTCAAACTCATATTCCCGTTTCTCAACATCTTGTTCTCTTCCTCTCTCAAGAAGCATGAAAATCCTCCATAAGGATTAATGCCAACACAGCTTCCATGATTTGAGCTCCACCCGGAAGATGGAGAGTCATTTCCACTCCCAATTCCTTTCTTTGCTCTCCTTATCCCTACACAGAGATCACCATTTTGAGCTCTCAAGAAGACAATAGAATCCCCAGCAACAAGTTTCTTCTGGTTAACAAACGTGCTCCACCCAGTAGTCAACAAATGCCTTCTTGGTGTCCCTCTATAAATATGCCGAAACTTCCAAGTCTCTCCATGCACATCTTTAGCCACCACAGTCTGGACTGGAGGATCTGCACTGTAATCCAACCTTGGAAATATAGTCTCAGCACAATATCTTGGCACAGAAAATCCACCCCCATTATTAGCATCAGATTGTGTCAAGGTTTTAGCAAAAGATGCTGGCTTTTCTGACTCAGTGTCGGACCCAACAGAGTTCAGACTTAAACTATTGTCTTCAAAATCAAGCTCACTACCTGGTAATGGAACTAGTCTTATCTTGGCGTACACTTCATCAGTTTCAGAATCAGCAAGAAACTTGAGTGAAGCGACACGGCAAAGAATAAGAGGTAGGATTGGTGTAGTTGAGGAAGGGAAATTCACAGGCCCAAAAGCGTGCTCAGCGTGGCCTTGAGGAAAGTAAAACACCATGCTGTTCAATGGAGGGATTTGCACCATGGATCCTGCACATGCGTGCCATAGTTGTGGATCAATGCTCTTCTCAACCTCCTTCATTTGGGGGGCCTCTTTTGGTATTTTGAGTTCTGAAATACAAACGCTTAAAGCTTCAAGATTTGATTTTCTTTCTACAATCCTGTGAGTTATTTAGGGGAGAGAGAAAGACAATAAGAATCAAATTTAACAAAGCAAAGAATAAATAGCTGAGACTGAGAAGGTTAAGTAAACAAGTTCATTAAATTATACATGAAACGCAAAATCAATCTCTAATTTCTTACCTCTGTCAGTAGTCACCAGAAAAACAAAAAACCCTTCAAATTCAACACTTTACTCTACCCCTCTCTTTCAAGTTAGCAACTTTATCACTTAAAAGAGAACCCTTTTTTCACATTTGCTCTAAACACATAACATCTCTTCATATGAGGGAAAAAAAAAAAAAATCCTTTTTCCTTCCAAATTTGCAGACTTTGAACCAGAGTTGCTCTGCTTTAACTTTCTCATGCACGGACAAGAGACTTTAAGTAATCGGCGATCAGAATCAGATGGTAGCAGCTGTTATCTGGTACGGCAATGACCACCGAATCCTCTGTTCTCAGACACTTTTAAATCCCTTTGATTCTCTTACCATTTGCTTTACTTTGCCATCTACTAAATCCCAAAACCAAACAAAACAAAACCCCAATCTCGCTCTATCTGTTACCCTTTTGTTTTTGTTTTCATTTTAATATCTTTTTCCTTTCTTCAGATCTCAAACTGTTAACTTTCTCTCTCCTAACCCAAACGAAACAAACACAGAAATCTTAAAACAAACAAAAAACTGTTATTAATTTATTTAACCAGAGAATTTATAAGAAAGAAAAAAAAAAACAAATAAAATATATTAATTTCATATCGAGATTTTAAAGTAAAAACAAAGTTAAATCTCGCGAGTTTTTATACACACAACTTGCTCGATAAAATGCCACAGTAAATAAATAAAGTAACAGAGATACTGGGATTGGGCTATTAACTCACTTACTGTTTACTGATTTTGTGTTTGTACTGCTCCGAAATCGAAGCAGTCACAATAACCAGACAAACTAACCATGGTTAACAAATCCAAATTTGTATAGACTAACCAGGGTTAAATTGTAGCCCATTGGACTAGAACTGACAAAGTGTACTTTTTTTATTGCTATTTCTTGCAGGCGCGTGCTAAGTAAGGTGCAGTGTGACTGTGAATCACCCTCTGAAAAAATCCTTTTTATTATATCCAACTTGGAAGAGGTTTTTAGTAAACATCGAAAGATTTAGTGAAAGAAATAAGGAGACTCACAATATTTTGGAATGACAATTTACATTGTCATAGTTTTAGTATGTGACATTTACACCCTTATAATTAAATAATGTTTGTGAAAAATAATTATTGTAAAAGTAAAATAGACAATACAAAAAAAAGGTTTTTAATTTTTCTACTGTCTTATCGAATTATTAAAATTAATAATTTTTTGTTTTTGATAAACAGAGTATCCAGACAAGCTTGTGCACATGTCAATTAATCTTCATAATTTATCGAACACTTTACAAGCCTAAAAGATCAGATAAACGACAATTTTATTATTATCCAGGCAAGCTTGCGCATACGTCAATTAATCTTCATGGTCTATTGAAAACTTTACAAACCCAAATGATCAGATAAACGACAATATTATTATGATAGATGATCTTAAAGTTTGAACAAAAAAACTCAAGGAAATGAGCAAATTTCCTTGACACCAATCCCTTGCGGTTAAAATTAATAATTTTAAATTATTTAATATTTTAATCATGTGACAAATGTTGATATTAGTTTCTTTTTATTATAAGAGAAAAGACAAAATAATGATATATCAATTATTGTGTCCAATTAACTTTTTCAAAAAATGTTTGTCAACTATAAGGGTGTAAGTGTTCCATTCTGAAACTACAAGAGTGTAAGGATTTCATTTTGAAACCTATGGGGTGTCCAAAAAAAACCTCCAAGTTGTAATGTAAAATAAAAAGACTTAAAAAGTTTTGTCAACATTTTTGTATTAAAAATTTGTAATTTGATGAATTAAGATGTGGGCAGGCGACACTGATTATGATCACTTTTTTTGTTTTTTTCATTATATTTACGTTCATCTTTATATGCATTTCCTCTTTCTTTCTTTCATTCTATACGGGAGATAGGACGGCATAATTCTACATAAATTCAATTCAATTAATTAAAAGAATTTTTATCGTAACTCTTCAAATACCAAAGGAAGTGGACATGGAGGCGCGTGAAAGAAGGTTGAGCAATTTTTGATGAGTGTGCAGTCGGCGAGGTTTCTGGTCAGGGCGACGAGGAATTGATTGATGGTACTTAGCGATGACATAAAGCGATTGCCTTTTATTTCACCAGTCGTTTTGTAAATGGACTCTTTCAATTTTTATACAAAAATGCCATCATGTATTTTTTTTTTTTTTTTATAAGATTTTCCATATTTTATTTATTCAAATAGACATACAATACAAATGGTTTGTCTCCTTCTTTTTTTCAAAATACTCTATTCATATTATGAAAAAATAATAATAATACTATATATACATTATTTTCATACAATATTATATAACAAAATATGATTGATTAATTTAAAGTTAAAATTAAACTTTTACCCAATCATATATTGCCACATAATATTGTATGAGAATGATGTATGTGTAATATTATTCGAAAAAAATACATGTTTTTTCTCTATTCTCAAAATCATATCCTATAATATTCAACATTTAAACCCCCATAGGTTTGTTAATTTAACTAAACACCCCCAACAAAAAAGTTTTATAAATTAACAAAAACACCTCCACCTACCCACATTTGTTAGATTCTGACAACCATTACCAGAAGCTGTCAGAATCTGGTGTAATAGCGCACTACAGGTTAGATCTGGCCGGTAGTGAGCCGATCTGACTGTTTTCAGCCAGATCCACGGTCAAAGATCTGGGCGTTGACGGTTAGATCTTTGGCCACATCTGGTCGTCAATGACAACTAATATATGACCGTTGTTGACCGTCAACAACAACCAAAACTAACCATCAACAGCCAGATCCGACTATAGATTTGGTTTTTTTCGACTAGATCCGTGGTGGATCTGGCCAAGAAGGGCCATAGCGGCACACGACCTGTCAGATCTGGTCAATCGTGCACAATGACACCAAATTCCGATAGTGGTGGTTGGAATCTAGCAACTGTGGGTAGGTGAAAGTGTTTTTATCAATTTATAAGCTCTTTATTATTATGGGTGTTTAACTAAATTAACAAGCCTATTAGTTTTTTTGTTAATTTTTAAATCTTACCTCGTAATGATAATTCAACTCAACTTAATAATAATATTTCAAAAACATTACTTAAAATAATAAAACAAGCACACTTGTCTTGGGAAGAATTAAACACACTCTGAAAATAAAATATTAATTGGATATTTGATTGATAACATTAATTAGAATTAAGGTAATGCCAAAAGGCAGAAGATAAAGGGTATCTTATTTTGTTCTTGCAGAGTCGTGAATAAGCAAGAAAGGGTTTCGGGTGAGACAAAGACAGGCTACAAATCTTACATGTTATATATTCTTCTATTAAAGACTTTAATATTATTTATTATTTGTTAAAGACTTTAATATTATTGTGGTTTCTTTTGAATTTCAAAAAATTCAGGCTCATAATTAAAATTTTAAATAATGCGTAGTATTTACAATTTGGGATCAGTCTGGATCAGTGGCGGATTCAGGATTTTTATCCAGAGAGGGCCTCCACGGCTTTATCATTATTTGCTAAACAACTAATAAAAACTTGAAAAAATCATAAGCCTTAAACAAAGAAAATAATACAATATCAAGAACCTGAAAAAAAAGAATGCAATAATGCAATATTTTCCTATTTGAATAAATCCATGAGAAGCAAAATTTTGAGTAAATGTGTTAAGTAAACCTTGAGCAAAACTTTCTTTTAATTTTTTTAATTTTTTAATTTTTGGCTTTTAAAGATTATAATATAAATTTTCATAACTTTAACCAGACTTAGGGGGTATTTGTCTGAGCTTATGAAAATTAGCTTATAAGCGACAAATGCTTATAAGCTAATTTTAGCTTATAAGCATTTAAAATTTTAAGCAATTACGTGTTTGGTTAAAGTACTTATAAGTGACTGATAAGTAATTAATGTGTTTGGGAAAATATGACTTATAAATACATTTTATTACAAAATGACTAAAAAATGTACTATATTAAATAAGAGTATACTATGAAATTTTAAAATTAAATAAGGATAATGTGGTAATATACTTAGTCAAACTAGCTTATAATCAGAGTGCTTATAAGCCAAAAAAAAAAAAAAGTACCTCCCCCCAACTTATTTTTTTTGGCTTATAAGCTCAAAAAAGTTATAAACAAACACGTCAGCTTAATTTTAGAGCTTATAAGCTAGTTTGCCAGCTTATAAGCTTAGACAAACACCCCCTAAGTTACGGGAGAGGTACTTTTTTTTTTTAGCTTATAAGCACTCTGCTTATAAGATAGTTTGACAAAGTATATTACCACATTATCCTTGTTTAATTTTAAAATTTCATAATATACCCTTGTTTAATGTAGTACCCTTTTAGTTATTTTATAATAAAATGTATTTATAAGCCATATTTTACCAAACATGTCAACTACTTATCAATCACTTATAAGTACTTTAACCAAACACGTAATTATTTAAAATTTCAAATGCTTATATTAGCTTATAAACATTTGTTGCTTATAAGCTAATTTTTATAAGCTCAGACAAACACCCCCTTAACCTAAGCTAAAGTCAACCAAAACTTAAATCTAATAATAAAAAAAAAAAAAGAATTTCCTTGATATAACATAGATAGTAACTCAAATTTCTTTAATTATTTTGAGTAGTAAAACGGTAACGTTTGAAATGTAGGAAAGTGGTGGGTGAAGGGTGAAAAATAACGTCATTTAATTGAAATATAATTAAGGTTTTAATTTGGGAAAGCAAGTTCATTCTTAGACATAAAACACAAAATTAACTCACAAGATCCATGTCTTTTCCCCTCAAATTATAATAAAAAACCTTCCCAAAAAAAAAAAAAAAAAAAAACATGATTTAACCCTAAAATAAACTAAATTGAAATGAGCAATACACATACCTAAAACTGATAAAATAGAAAATAGAGATAATTGTGACACCTTGAGTAGTAAAAACTTCAACAATTTCAGTCTTCAAAAGTTTTAAGATGAAATAGCATGGGGAAGAGAATGAGAGAGTAAAGAATTTTAGGGATAAAATCATAAAAAGCAGGTAGAGTCGTAGAGAAGAAGAGTGAAGAGAGTTTTAAACTTTAATATGATGTGAGCTTGAAATATATATATTAATAGTAAGTTTTTTGTGGGCTTAGATATATGTATAATAATTCTCATTTTTTTTAAATCCAAGGGTGGGTTTGGGTATATATATTAATAGCAATTTTTGTGGGTCTATATATTAATAATTTTTTATTTTTTTTAAACTTGAAGCCTACCCTCAAAGGTGCTAGATCCGCCCCTGTTCTGGATTGATAACATGGTATGACCCTTTCTTAATTTGTATTATTATTATTATTTTTGGTAACCAGCGCGTCCAATCCAGTTTGTGCATGTCTCAACTAATTCCCGAGGTCCATTAAACACCTTATAAGCCCAAAGAATCAGGTAAACTACAATATTATTGTGATAGGTAACCCCAAGATTTGAACAAAAAAACTAAAGGAATAGAGTAAACCTATTTGACCATCAGACCAATCCTTTGAAGTTTTAATTTGTATTTTTCATTTGGAACATTAAAGGCAATGATTGTAGCCCAAGTATTTATTTCATTTCAACATTAATTCATATTCCATTCCAATTTCAGAAATCCTTAAAATGTAAGCTCTTCTTAAGTTATTATATTAGTTCCTTTCAACATACATCTTATGGCTGATTGTGTCGAGAGATATAGTTTGTTCTAATGTTAGACGTTTTCGTAGTAGAAAACTCACTAGAAAAACACATTTTTCTTACAATGTTACTCTTTTATAGGGTTCATTAACATTTGAACTCGTTAGTTTACTTTCATCTATCGCAATGGTTGCTCTAAACTAGAGATAACTAACATCTAATAGACACAAAATTATCAACTATGATTCAATCTTGTTGGAAAAATCCATACTTACCATGGGATTAAAAGTAGCATGGGAAACTAAAATTTGGTGAAGAAACAACATCAATACCAACGTACACCAATAAAGTGATTAAACAAATTAAATCCTCTAGCAAGAAGAAATTAAATTGAAGATATGCCCTACAATACTAGGATGTGGAAATAGAAATTAATAAGAAAAGTTGGTGAACAACCAACGTTGATAAGGACAAACTACATTAAACCAATTAATGTTTAGCTACCCATAAATAGAGATAGTCTTTTATCTTGTGCCTAAACTATATAATTATAGTGTTATGGATTACATATATGTGGGTTTCATTTCCCAAAGTAAAAGTTTTCGTTTTGGTTGTGTTTAGCATTAAGTGGCCCTTTGAATTTGACTCTTAACTTACATGTGGATAATGGTTTTCCAATTTTAACTAAGATTTTTAGACTTTAGGACTTCCATTTTGTCAATATTTCAAGCATACGTGGCATAGAATTCTAGAGATGTTTATATGTACTTTAACTTATCTTTTGGTGTTTTGAAGTTAATGATCAAATAAGCTTTCCGTGATTATCTCTATTAACAGTCGAGATAAATCGAACTCAAGATCTCTTAAATAATACATTCAAAAGTTTTAAACTTATAAAAGTATTTAATGAATATTTGAAAAATGTCATACCCACTTAATAAAATATTTTAAATTAAAAAAGATTTCTGATAAACTTTGTTTTGATATGCAGGAGATGTTTAAAATTTTATCAAATTAATATGAATTATAAAGGAAGTGGTTAGATTAATAGCTGTTATGTCTCTCCAAAACATGGGCGACTAATTGAAAGCCAACCGTTATTAGGTCCCCAACAATTTCTCTTTACAAAAAAAATAAAAGACAACCCACCTGACACCTCCTACGACAAAACAGTTTCTTCTTCTGTTAAACACCAACCCCTTTTGCGTAAATTCACATTTTCAAAATTATTTTTTTCATAGAAAATTAAAACAAGAACAAAAACTAATTTAATATTCATATACTTAAGCTTGTGTTGTGTTTTAATAGAAATATTACTAGCTTAATGGAGAAATTCAGAAACTCATTTTTTAAAATTAAATTTTGGAAAATTTTAATACCTAGTGAGAATTATATATCTAGATTTTCATATTTTAAATAATATAATTAATTTGAAAATTAGTATCACGTTATTTAGGAAATTTAATATAATTTTTTTAAATAAAAATGTGTGTTTATATATTACTAAATTGGTAAAATAATAAAAAGGGGAAGCAAGTGTACATATTTTGAAAAAAATATAATGACAGCTATAAAAATGTCATGTGGATGTGCAAGTTGAGTCGTGGGTGACCTGGCATGGCATGAGAATCCAGGTGGCAGGATCTGAATGGAATGATATTATAGTTTAAAAGGGTTGATGATTAAAGATGTGGACCTTTGATGATGGTGATGATGGGACGTTACAGGGCGAGAGTGGGACCTTTAATACTGAGACAGCCCAGGAATCTCTGTCGTTATGTCCTCACTCCTCAGGTACAGTGCGTGAAACTAAACATAGCATGACATAACTAAACTAGTTTCTGTTTTTTTGAAGAATTTTGGATTGCCACGTGTAGGGGTGAGATCGAATTATCTGACTCTTTGCTTTATTACTCTTTTTACAAGGAGAAACGAGACACCTTGCAAATGAAAGTTTAGTTAATAACTGATCTAATAAGGATTAATTACGAGTTATCATGTTAGGGTTGTAAGAGAAATTTTATGAGATTAAATCATATGTGTGTCCATGAAAGTTTTATGCTGAACTTACGATTAGTTTACCCTCTTACACTATGAATTAATGTTTAAGTATCAGATAATCGGGTTTAATAATGTTAAAGAAAGAATACTAATAAAACTAATCACATACAAAATTAACTACATTTTCAAACCCTAAAATATTATATCCAACTCACATAAATATCATTGTTTTTTCTGTCACAATTTCCAAATCTACACTACTCCAATTTAATTTGTGTTCAAAATTGAATGTCAAATTTAAATAATGAACAAAAATGGAAGGATTTTATGGGATGGTATTGGGCAGAAGTTTGGTATGGGCGCATCGCATGAGATGTCTAGCACATGGTTTTGGTATAGTACAAAATCCAGAATCATGTGCCAACAGAAAATAATTGCAACATATTAATGAGAGTTTTATTTAAATCTGTGAAAAAATTGAGTTAGGTGTGTAAAAACTAAAAACCAGTTAAAGTCGTGCAATCAACTGGCACCAAAAACAAGAGCTTTAGTTTTGTGACCATTCAGTAACTTAATTTTGGCACGTATTTAATGGATAATGCTATACATACATACAAAATGTACATACTACACATGTAATTGAGGATTATGTGGGCCTACGAATTATTGGACAGAGCCCAGTAGGTTCGAACTTGATTTTACGATGGGCTAGAACTGGATTAAACCCACCCCATAGTTCTCCCATAATTGTTTTTGTGGAGTCCACTAAAAGTTGGAAGCAAAACTAACAGCATTAGCGTGGGAACAAAATAACATAATAAATTTAAACCATGAATTGTGGCCAAGCCAATAGCTAGACTCTAAGACAGGACGAACTTTCCCTACAATGTTAGAGATTCGACCCATATTGGAAGCAATTTATGGCCAAGGATACTTACCTGAGCCATTGCAGGAGTTCGAACCGCACTGGAAATACCTTCTGGCCAAGGGTACTTACCCGAGCCTTGATCAATTAGTCTCATACCTTTGGACATGGAGAGACCCGTGACTTTCACCCAAAAAAAAAAAAAAAAAAAAAAAAACACGACATAATAAATTTATATGAAGAAAAAACCAAGAAAAGTATTGCATGCAAGAATAAAAAATAAACAAATAAATGTATATTTTTAAAAAATAAACAAATAAATGTATATTTTTAAAAGACCTGATGATTCTGATGTCGTTGCTCAAAATGCAGTCCACCATAACTAACCGGACAAGCACATCAAACACCACAAGAGAGCTTTAAGTTTAAAAAGTTACTACTAATACTAACTTCAATATCTAATTTCATTCTCTGCCTCATTCAGATATTCTATTGCCTTCTTTTCCTAATGAAAAACGTGCTCACCAAAGGTTCCTAGTCCTACTTCCTACTTATTCCAATAATATACAAAACAAATCAACTAGGATAACATAAAAAAAAACAGTAAACAGAAACATCAGCTTGCTGTCCTAGAAATAATTAAACAAGAAGCTATCCAAATGAATTTTCTAATTAATGTGTCTGCTCATACACAGTTCCTCACAACCACAGTGGTTTACTGCCTCGATGACGGGGCAAAAGGCCAGACTTGCAGGTCGTACATGGTGGTCTACTGCCTATGCCTGNAAAGTTACTACTAATACTAACTTCAATATCTAATTTCATTCTCTGCCTCATTCAGATATTCTATTGCCTTCTTTTCCTAATGAAAAACGTGCTCACCAAAGGTTCCTAGTCCTACTTCCTACTTATTCCAATAATATACAAAACAAATCAACTAGGATAACATAAAAAAAAACAGTAAACAGAAACATCAGCTTGCTGTCCTAGAAATAATTAAACAAGAAGCTATCCAAATGAATTTTCTAATTAATGTGTCTGCTCATACACAGTTCCTCACAACCACAGTGGTTTACTGCCTCGATGACGGGGCAAAAGGCCAGACTTGCAGGTCGTACATGGTGGTCTACTGCCTATGCCTGGTTCTCATCTCCAGGACCCTTTTGTGAGAGTTGGAGTGCAATGATGGTACAAATGTCGGACTTGCAGCAGGTCGATACTCAGGAAGTAGGCGGCCAGACCTGTATCGAACCCCACATGCATTACAAAGGGTCTTGGGTCCCAAAGGACCTTCCCTCCATTGTGGGGTCTCTGTTATCTCACAATGAGTGCATTTTCTAATTGCAACTGATTGCTGAGAATTAGATTTCTTAATCTCCCTCGAACATGAGAGCATTGTAAGGTTCTTTTTCCTCTTCTGTTTTTTCCTGGAAGGCTTCTCAAAGTGGGATTCTGACCCTGAGTCAGAAGCAGTTGAAGGATTATATTCCTCAGAAGCAGAGGAAGTGGGGGAGATGAAAGGGAACACAAACTGTGGCTTGAAGGCTGAGATTGGCCGACGCTTGCTTCGAGTGCGCTTCACTGACACTGGGAAGGCAAGTTTAGGATTAATGGATGCTCGATTTTCAGCCAAGCAAGAACTGCTGCTTTCAAGGACAGAGACTGGACTGGAGGTTTGGAAAAGTTTTGAATCTTTGACATCATTAGAATTGCTGCAGAGAAAAATGCTTCCACAAGAGGACGAATCACCAGAGCTTGGTCGCTGTTTTGGTTGAGGAGCTCTGTTATACTGATCAAAGAATAAGGTACAATCACACAAAAGGTTAGACGAGACAGTAAGAGATACTTGTAGCATTTGCATGGAACTAACTAACTGATGAAAAATTTATGCTGGTCAATCAGAAAACAGAAAATAAAACAGGAGTTACAAGGTTTTCTCTCCATGATAGAAGCAAAAGTTGTATTAACATTCCTATTGTTGTGGGATAAAAGTCAACTAATACCATATTATTGCATCCTCAATTGCAATAATTTCATCATATATTAATATTAACGGACTCTGAACACTTATATAACAAGATAATTCAAATTGGAAACTGCTTTCAAGAGAGCACACCTAAGTCAAATTCTATTAGACCAGATGGGTTCATTTGGGAGTATATTTAGATTTAAGTAAGCTATCCCTGTGCAGAGGCCATGCTAAGAATCTTCTCCACATCTTCCCAAATTAATTAGACTCCAAAAAGACAGACAATATGGGTTTATAAGAAGTTATAATGTTAAAAACAACACTATAAATTGATCAGATAAGTTGAATTTCATGCATGAGCTTACACCTTATATTTAATACAACCTACAAATGCTTAGATTTAAGATGGAATTCATGCCATCAAGCAGTGATAAGATTTACACAGCCTCTACCACAACACCTATAGATTACCCAATGCTGTAGATTGTTAAGCAATTATTAATTCATTATCTCAAAAAAAAAAAAAAAAAAAAAAACCATCTCTGTAGAGCTGTACACTGCAATTAATCTCTCTTCTCATCATGAAAAAAGCCTTTACACCCTATCTGACACTTGTATGAAAATCATATGCTGTTGTGTAATTTCTTTTATTAGCGTATCATATCTGCCATACCAAACTCTCTGATAAAATAAAGTAATTAACAGGCGTAACTCCAGCTGTTAGCAAATCATACATGCTTTACACCATCTCAACCCCTTGCACAGATCTCCAGTAACTCCAATTAAGGTCCATGCCAATACCAAACCTCTCTGTGACACTAAAGTAATCAATGTACATTAGTGCTCTCTCCAAAGTATTCTTCCTCTCAAAGTATTTTTCCTCTCAAGCCAGAAATTATTCAGAAGAATTAATGCAATCATCCGGTCACTTCTGTGTGGAAATGCTTTCAAGTACTTAAAACCACTATAGTTATTATTACAATTGGAGTTACAACCTCTGTGAAACTCATAAACCCAGCCATTATCAATTTTTGAGCCAAACATGTTATTCTAATATTTTTTCTTTGCAAATACTTAGTTTCCAATAAAAATAAGATTGCTAGGCAAAATTATGCCCCAAACTTTGAATTAAATCACTTCTCATATCACTTTCCCCCTTTTTCTACAATAGAAAAAATATAAGTTGTGATCTCAATTTCTTTTTTAAACCAGACATACCTTGAGCAAACTCAAATTTGAAGGGCCCCGCTGACTTTGCAAGTTTTGCGAAGCAAGAAACATATGGCTTTCAACATGTAGGTGGCCCAAAGGAATTAACCTTAGACCTTGTGACCAGCCTAACCACTCAAATAACCCTCAAGGTTATATGCTTAATGATTTTAAAATCCAAAATTACATTTTATATGATATCAAAAAACTTTATTATATGTAGAACATTACAGAAAACAAGAAAAATAACTTTAGAAAAAATATATATATTTTCAATACTATATTCAAAAACTAGTTCAAAGCATTTCAACCAAACAAGTTTTCTTAAATTTCTTGTATTCCATATAGTATCCAATTCTAATCAATCAGTCCTTGAACTTTTGATAACATTTCTAAGTTTCTATATTACTGTCCATATTATGACAACAGTCAAGTTCATCCACTTCAATGTCATTAGCGCACATCATACAAGCATAATTTCACTCCCTAATAGAATTCTATGGTAACAAAATTTTTGTAATGAATAATATGTAATATGTTTATGTACAAGATATTATGAATACAAGAACTCACCGAGATAGAATTATTTTTGGTCACTGCTGATAATTCGGACAAAACACTCAAGGGTGGTGGCTCAAGGCTCTGAAAATTTGCATTCCAATCTACACCAGAATCCAGGTCTTCCAATGGGAAATCAAAATGTTCCATAAAATCATCAAAGAACTCATCCGGGACGCCATTGAAATTTTCATCCAAAAACCAGGAATCACTCATATTATTCTTCACTCTCTGATTACACATTGTGATTAGAATCCAATAACAAGCAAAAAGGACATGTTAGTTCTAAGTTCAAAAAACATAAACTCTTAACAGATTAAAGTAAAAACGAACACCCATAACATGAATTTACAAGCAGTTAAGAGTAAAAAGTAAAGATGAAATAATATCGTAGGCTAGGTCCATAGGATTACCATGCATTTTACCTTATCCAACTGAAAATATATTAATATACACGCTTTTATCATCAACAAAAAATCCCTTATATAAGTACAAAATTGTTTCAACTAAAACTCTAAAAATCCAAATATAGCACAAATTCTCAAAATCTAGGGGTCCTTTTATAATTAATCTTTCCTAATTTGAGATTTAACAAAAGGAATTTTCGTATTTTTAAAAGGAAAAGCAACTACTTCCTTTTCTCTTCTAAGATACTTTAAAAAACAACTACGCTACCACGTCTTTTTCAGCTAATTATTTCCATTTTTATTTTTGACCAATAAAAATTACTCAACTAAAGTCACCGTAAATAAATAAATAACTATCGCCTGTTTGGCCACTGAGAAAACGCAGAGAAATTAATTAAATTCACGGCAGGAAACATTTACACACAATTTTTCCCCAATTTTTTCTCAGCGACCAAACAAACATCACAAACCAAAAAACAAGACACATGCAATGTAAGCCGAAGCTGAGTAAAGCCGAGCAAAAAAAGCTAGAACCACATTATACTTATTATTGAAAGAAATGATTTCTTAGGTTCACATTTCATTATCTTCCTCAAAAATCAAAATCAAAAGAAAAAAAGAAAACAACAGAAAAGAAATGTAAAGGTAAAAGAAGAGGGGGAAAGAAACAAACCTATCATCAAGAATGAAGCAATGCATGGGATCTTAGAGATGAGTGAGTGTGTATTTGTTTGAGAAGCTGTGGGTGAGATTCCTTTGAATCTGTATGTCTTGTTTTGGGAATTTAGGGATTTTGCTTTTAAAAGAGAGAGAGAGAGTGTGTGAGTATTATAATGCGAGCGACCACATGGGGTTTGGCGTGTGGCCCCTGATTCATCAGCCTACATCTGTCATATACCATTTATTTGATTGGAGAAAACATAATTAAGTGGTGGGGTTAATGTGGTTAAGAAAAATCATTTATAGCCAATTTAGAAATGGATAAAGTTAAAATCATTGGATTTTTTTTTTTTCAAAACTAAATATAAAAAAAAATCATAAATAAGGATAAATTAAAAATTGTAATCTTCAATATTTTAATTTTAATTATTGAAACATAACTCATAACAATTAATAAACCTTATTAAGGGGAAATTGAGTGAAGGGTGTATGATTTGTTTAACATGTGGAATCAGAGGGACAAGAAAAAAAGGTGGGGTCTACGATAATGGTATGATGTTATATATGGAAAGAAATGGAGAGGAGAGATCACCGACGATTATGATATCAAAGTGAAGATCGAAATCATTCATTCATTGTCTTTGCAATTACTCTACATCTGGGTCCCATGTATTTAGTTGGACTTTCCATGTGGCACATGCTGTGGTTGTCAGAATTTGTCTCCTCAACATTTTTAACTTACCCACGAATTATTTTATATATTTGAATAGAGATAATTATAAAGATATTAACTTATTAGATTACTATTGACTTGTAATATTACCTAATTAGTAAGAAATTTAATATATTTTTGTGGAAATTCTACAGTTACATGGCGGTGCATGATATTCGGGTACTATTATTATTATTTTTTTTCTTTAATTAAAGTGTTCAACCCAGTTTACCCTCGTCTCAACTAATATTTAAAATTCATTGAACACCTTATATGCCTAAAAAGACTGATAAATTGCAATATTATTTATTTTTATTATTTTTTTATAATCAGAGTATTCAAATCAACTTACGTTTACTTCAATTAATCCTCAAAATCTATTAAACATTCTACAAACCCAAATAAGCTACAGTATTATAAGGATAAGTGATCAGAAAGATTAAACATAGAAACTTGAGAGACCAACCCCAAGGGTTGGTACTGCTACTTATTGTAGCTGAAGAAATGTAGCTTGGAAGCAAAGGGAGTTAGTTAAAAGAGTCGCTTTTTTTTTCAGAAAATGAGGCAGCAGGCTAAAAAAATTACACAAAGTGTCGGTTCAATTTCATCATCACTGGTGGGGTTTTTGGTTTAGGATTCTTATCAAACAGGTGATATACAAGTCCGTCCAGCACCAGGGGGTTAGTTTCAGTCCCACATATCTGTTTCCTCGCCAACAACCAGGATAAGCCTCAAAGAATGCAAGGCTCAGAGTCACTCAAAAGTCAAAACTTCATTAGGGGCTACAGAAAATATCCAATCAATCTCAAGAGAATAGAAATGGGATATGATGCAAGGATGGCACTGCATTTTGAAGATTGATTTCTACAAATCTCAAGTTTTTAAAAATGATTTTTGTGCATGTGCTGCTCTGCAACATGTCAATATAAAAAACCATACATTTATATTTTAACTTTTGATGTTCTTCTTCTAGCATTTACAAATAGAAAGAAGAAGACGAGTAAGAAAATGGGAATGCCTAATAAAAGCCCTTGTCCAAGCGTGATGCCATAAGAAGAGTAGAACATGCTCTCCAGCTTCTCCTGCAATTGAAAAATATTAATCAAATTAGGTCACTATGTAAGAGTGTCAACATTTCTTTAAACACCAAATGGAGGTGGGCCAAAGAAAGTACGTTAAATCCAGAACTACCCACTTCATCCTGCACCATGTACAAATATTAAAATCAGTAAATATGTCAAGTGAAAGCAGCTCTAAACATGCACAAGATGCATCTAAAGTAGCCATAACCAAAAAGTCAACAGCTAAGATAGAAGTGTGGTTTATATATACAACACAATAAAATATCAATCACTCCGAAAGCAAATTTTGATAAGGTAACAAAAACTGTCAATTACTGATTGCTTTGTAACTATGAAAGATTAAAACATAAACAAAGAACTGAAAGCAGTCATGAAGAATCGCAATTGTGCTTGTTAAAATTTAAGCCAAGGAAAACCTGATGCTCTGAAAATAAAAATGTATATTTGCTCAGCTAGGGACAAACCCAGAAAATGCCAGTAGAAAGTCTTTATGCACTCTAAATTCTTCTAACTTGTTTTCTCAAACAGTTTTTTTTTTTCCGTTTCCAGTTTAAAAAAATAAAAAAATAAATAAAAAATTTAACAATTATCAGTGTGGAACTCACTGAGTATCACCAGAGAATTAAAAAGCCAAAAAAAAAACAGGTAGAAATCAGCATCTTGGATAATTTCTCACAGATGGCGACTTACTATTGAAGCTAATTTCTGCTTTTGTTTCTCAAAGATGTCCAGGGCATACTTATAAAGCTCTAAATCAAGGCTATTAAGTGATCTTATCTGCTGCAGAACCTCTTCAGGAACTTGAAGACGTGCCTGCAAAATTTCATGGGTCAAAGAAAAAGTAGCAGGAAAGGGATACCACAGTTTAAACAAAGCCAACAAACATGAGCAAAAGCAACTCCAACACAATCAAAAGAATTGCAAAAGTGCTTTAGAATGAAATGTGCATGGCAAGGAGTTTATTTTAATAACCTAGAAATGTCCTGACAAAAGCACCAGGTCCAAAGCTCAGAGATGATGGACCTCACAATTTTCAGTAGTTAAGAAACCAGTGACATATAACAATAATATCAAGATCATATCGTTGAGCCCACCTCTCATATTAGTAAGGAGAATAAATACTTGTAAGGGAAGAAAAAAGCCTCTAGGATATAAGCTTTATATTTCTTAAACGTAACAACATATAAATAAAAAATGTTTATTACTCTTTCAAAACCATCACGGTCTGGGTGGTCTGACCGGGGGGCCTTGACTAGTATTAAACTCCAGTTCAAATCCCTAACCATTTAGAGAAAGAAACTTGATTCTTCAACTATAATCCTATCTACTGACCCTTACGGGATCTTCAAGACCAACAGAAATTTAGTTTAATCCCTACTCTCAGATTAACTGGTTTGAAGCACAATGTGAAAGAAGAAAAAAATATCACCGATGTAAGAAATCAAACAGGGAAAAAGAACTCATGTAACCAACCAATTCAAAGAATTTACATACCTCCTTTGAAAAGTTCACCGGAGAGATTCTCTTCAAAGAATTAATGCGTCGAGTCGCTTGGGACTTTCGTAAGGAAGAAATGCACACTTCATAAGCTTGCATAAGCTTTCCAACAGTCATCTAATATAGAATGAAAGAGGGCAAATATTATTTTTATTTTCGAATAGGAAAATCATATCATCTTGATATTGTCAGGTATCAGATTAAATAAAAAGGCTTACATTTTCTTTTATTGTTTCGACTTTTTCATTTGAGGTGATCTCAGCAGACTTTTGGTCTGAGGTGCTATTCTGCCACATGGGAAGGAACAGTAAAAATGCAACAGTAAGAATGCTAGTCTACTTGATTCATGTCCAATTACCAAAAGTCTTATAACAAAAATGCAAAAGTACATGCTACCACCTGATGATAATTGCTATCAGGCTCAGGATCTGAAAATGAAGAGCTATGTTCTGTAGCACAAGAAGAGTGAATCAAATAAAGAGCTAACTACACCCAATTCAATTCAATCCAATTAGAAACGAAAATACGGAAATATTTATGAAGTCCAATGCAACTTATGAAACAGTGAAATCCCAAGATGTCCAGATTCCACATTTTAGTTTATGCTATGAAATAATAAACCATATTTTTGCCCATACAAGCATACCAATCAGGAATGGAACATTAGAAAATAGTGCAAATGAGGAAGTTCTGAACAAAAGCAAAAGATTGTGAAAACCATTTCCCATAATTAAGAATTCCAGTTGTGACTTTTCTACTCTTTCAATATTAGAGGTTTCTTGACCAGTCTTTACTCTTAGTCCCTTAGATATGTGAATGTGCAGCTGTACACAGCTTTATCAGTAGAACAAGTTTGCTTCTGGTTAACCTGTGTTATCAATGGTTAATGGACTTGGTTTCTTCCAAATGGTTAAACTCTAGAACTGCTATCTTTTCTAATGTTATTTCAACCAAGTGTCTAATAGCATCTGATAAGTCCCAATATTTTTTTTGATATTTGCAACATATGCAAGCCCTTCAGAGGTGGTTAATCCCAAAATTTAGAAATAGAATTATGTTTTGTCAAACTAACCTGATTTGTTGTTACCCTCTATACTAGAATTTGATGCTACCATCTGGGAAATGACCTGTGCACCAACCACCTTCCCGAAAATGTTTGCAGATTCTCTATGGTTCTCTGTGAGACCAACATATAGCATTTCATCCAACCTCTTCTGCAAGATTTACAAGTATCTACCATGATTGCAACCATAAGGAGAGAAATTATCAGAAAAACAATATTATGACATAAAATTATCCACAACTCTAATACCCTTTTCAATTACCTTTGCAACTTGAAGCACATAATCACCAAGAGTCTTAAACTTCTGTACACAATGGCGAACTTCATGTGATTTTGCTAAATATGAGTTGTTTGTCAATCCTACAACCTGTTATCGAGAACACTCAATGATGAATTTGACAACTTAATCCTCATGGCCTTAACAATCCCATCAGAAAATCAGTAAAAAACATTTTCTTTTATAATCCATTTTTAGTAATATTTCCAACACATAAGTAGCTCGCACAACCTAAATTAAACCAAAGAAAAATAATTCACGAGAACAGAATATGACAAAGATAAACCATGAGGAAGAATACCTGAAATGTTGCTCCATTGTGAATAATATCCCAAGCAGTTGGTTTATTGATGAAATCTTGTAATGGCATTACAAAATCCTCCATGTTGTATGAATCATTGCCGTTAACATCCACTGTGACCTTCTGTTTTCGGGCATCTCTCTGTTCATCAAAGTAGAATACGTAAAAACTTCATCATAATTACTATTGGGGGTGTTTATTACACCATATTGGACAACACAAAAACACCGCACAGCATTAATAATTTTTTTTTAACCAGTGCTTGGAGATCCACAGGACTATTTAAAGTCCTTTCCTAGTTTTTAGTGCACTGGAATCGCACTATCTTGTGGGCACTTCCCAGAGCTGGTTTTGCACAAACATGTGCAGGCGGAAATGTAATTTAATAATTTAACGTGACTTATTAATTAATATTATTAAAAATTGTAAATGTCTAACAATTTTAATAATAACTTGACAAAATACGTACTTATTAATATTCCTTTTAAATAAATATAATTAATAATTGAATTAAAATTAAAGGTTAAGTATTTCATTGATTTTTATTCAAATTACTTATATAGTAAATTTTGAATTTATTAATCATATAAATAATCTTGTCCAGTATAATACATCAGCAAACACAATATAATATGATGTTTAACAAAGTCCTATAAAATCTAATCCATTCCATTTCTGTTCACTCCAATCCAACCCTATGAGTTCAGCCCAATGATGTTTGTCAAACCCACCTATAGAAGCAGCCCTAGCCCAAAATTTAGAGTCAAGTAATTAAAAAGGAATTTAAAATAAAAATTGTATTTCATGATGTGCATAACAAAGGATTTCTCATGGACTACTATGTGAAGAAAAAGAAAATTGAATAGCCTGTAAAAAGAAATAAGAATTAAAAAAAAAAAAAATCCAACAGAAAAATACAAGACAAACGTACCCGAGCAAACAGGTCTTCTCTCATCCATGGAACCAAATACTTCCATGGCCATATATCAAGAGTGCTGACTCCAGAACTTTTAGAGCGCAAGCGTTTAGCCATTTGTGTGGCAGAAGTTAAGTTAGGATGCACCAAAAATCTAGCAGCAACTTCTACTGAAAATTCATAAGTGCTAAATACACGATCAATTGGATTCCTAAGTATCGTCACCACTGAAGTTTTCTCTTTTGGAAGTTTGGACATCATGCTATAGTCATCATGAGTGACCAACAATCTACAGTTAGTTTTGCTGCACAGGTAACAAAATTGCAGCAATTAAAAAGCCATATAAGTACATACTAATTAAAATTTATGATAGTTTCATTCATAACAAATTAGAAATATCTAGTTCTTTTGCTATAGTTATGACTTACAGATGCTAAAAGATTGTCTCTTCCCCCGAACATTTTGAAGAAAACTAGTTAATTACAAGTTAACCTAGTACACTTAAGCAACAGTCACACTTGTCATCTCCACCGTGTAGTAATATAAACAAACACAAACCCTATTCAACTTAATTTCTAGAAAAATCTTCCATTCAAAAGAATAAGAAGAAAAGTGCTTTAGAATAATTCCTAAAGAACCTTAAATCCCACTAATAGACCTTTTTTTTTTCCCCACAATTTTTCTATTCTACCAATATTCTACTAAAAATGTTCAACTTGAGTGCCATACTCAATGGTTGCATCAATAATTTTCATCTCTCTCTACAAACATTCAAACCAATTTCTTTCCCCCACACATATAAATGTTTATAAATTAAAAGGTCTCTCCTTTCTTCAGAGTTTTCTCTATTTTTCAATAAGCACCCTTAACCTCTAAATCTCTAAACCAAATCAGTTTCATCCAACAAACTACAGGTAAATCTAAATTCCTAGTAAAACACAATGAAGTAACATCAATATTATTTGCTACAGAAGGTTCAATGATTTGATAAAAAGTAAAACCATCAAATGAATAATAGAATTTTAATCATATAACGCCTAGCATAAATATCAGAACACAGGACAACACGATGATACCTTGGATCAAACCGCAACTTGTCATAAGAACGGGGGCATTCTAGAGAGCTAGAGTACAACTTTTTCAGAAGACTGCAACAATAACAAATTACCCAAAGCAGAAATTAATAAGGTTTTTAAAATGCTGGACCCTAATTTCAGAGTAACTATCATTACATCCTGAGGGAATTACCAATGGAAATAAGTGCGCCCTCCTGTCCTGGGAACATGTAGAAAGAACAACAAATCTTGCAGGGTGTGTTTGTCTTGTTTTAATTCTTGATCAAGAGAAGAAAGTGCCCACTTTTTGACAACTCTTTCACAGTGCCCAAAATCAGTTACTGTAGAAGCATTCACTGTAAAAGAAACTCAAAAGTGTCAGATATTGCACTACAATTAACACTAGAAATAAACATTTTGAGGTCAAAATAAAAATAATAAAGGAAATTCAAAAGGGTTTTACTTCATATCAACATATCAATAATTAGTAACAGAAAATTCAAATTTAGCAAAGCCCCTAGTCAGCTTTCTAATATGTTTCTGCCGTCCTAATTACAAAACTAAAAACTAATTTATTCTCACCATCTAGAAGAGCTTATTCAGTAAAGAGAAATCAAGGTCATTCATTTAGGTAACAAAATAATAATAATTATAAACTAAATGTGGCAAAGATGGCACTGGGACAGTGATATCTACATTTGATGTATGGGTGGAAGCGATCAAGTTAGAGCGACAATGATTATTAATGGTACTGAATATTCAATCAGCACTAGAGGTAAGGTAAAACTCAATCAAGTTTGTGTTTAATTTCTAAAATGCAAAATATAAGTAATAACACTCAACAGCGAATCAACATTTGGGGTAAGGGAAGACGAGACTATTCCACAAAATTCAATCAAATTTATGCCTTTCGTTTCTAAAATTCAGAATCAATCTTTCTAACAAATCAACAATTTCATTCAATACTCATGAGCCCAACCATCATAATAAACATAAGAAAAAAAAAAACCTTTTTCAATTCTAAACAAGATTGAAAACATACCAAACCCGAAAAGCAGCAACAGAAGACCAAATTTGAGAGCAGTATCCATGGGGCTGATTCCTACTCAAATCACTGCAAAACAAAAAAGCAAGTAAATAAACGCAATTTGAAATTGTTAAGAAAGAAACTAGTAAGAGAGAGAGAGAGAGAGAGAGAGAGAGAAATGAAACATTAAACATGTGGTTGAACCTGTATAGATTTTCGTGATCTCGTGCTCATAAACTAACACCACCCATGTTGCCCACTGTAACCTACAAGAATATATTAAATCAAAAGTTATAGAGCATGGAAATGGAAACCCTCGAATTGTGTAAAAACGATTTTGGGTTCTCAATGCAGAGTTGAAGAGCGAGCGAATATAACATAGAGGAATTTGTAATGATAACTTTGGGGAGGTTTTAAATGGGCGCCGGCAGGTGGGTGGTTTCTTTTTTTAGTATGAAACGCACGCCGTGAGAACCAAAAAAAAAAAAAAAAAAACATTTATTGGGCGTCTCGATTGTATAATATTTGAAAAATGTTATCCCTAAAAGACAATATAAAGGACGGGTGTTCGGCTTCGAGTATCTTACACTTTTTAAAGAAACCAAAACTAGAAGTAGAACAGACAGTTTCTTGAAATTTGGAACTAGAATCGGAACCGACAGTTCCGGTTCCTAGGTACCCAGAACCAGAACCTGTAACAACGGTTTCGGTTCTAGTTCTGGGTACCCTGTAAAATTACAATGACCCCTAAAAGTTTTTAAAATGGTAAAAAAACCCTTAAAAACTTATAAATACCCCCCCACCTGGCACTTGTTAACAAAAATAAAATTACAAATTATAAATTCAAAATTACAAACTCCATTACTTTGTAAAGGTAGATTCTCAAAAGTCAAACCAACTTACTTTAAATGTTATGAAATATAAATATAAATGTATTCACATTACTTTTTCTACAAAATTTTTTATTAAGCCCCCTAATATTTAATTTTATTTTATATTAGGCTTGGTTCCTGGTTCCTGGTTCCAGTTCTGGTTCTAGTTCCTAACTATAGGAACTGGAACCGGAATCGCATAGTAACGGTTCCAAAAATTTGGAACCGGAACCTACCCATTAACGATTGATTCTGGGTAGGAACCAGAACCAGAACCAAACCCAGGGTACCCGTCGGTTCCGGTTCTAACCGGTTCTTTTGAACACCCCTAATTGACAAAAAAGGCTATAAAGTGACGTCAGAAAAAAAGAAAGAACGGTAAAAGAGAAAGAGAGAGAGAAATCATGAAGATCGAGGATAATAATTGTCTTTGTATGCCCCCTTTGTATTTGTCTTTGTAAGACTAACACTGCTCATAATATTTTATCATTGGGTATATTATATGAATAGAAAAAAATCACCTTCAAAATTAACAAAAATGTTTAGAAAATGTATTTGGTTCGTTTGAATAAATTGATGAATAATATATTTTGGTTGGGAATATAAAGGGGTAGGTATGTTATATAGATTATTAAATTGTTCTCATTTTTAAATATTAATATAATAATATTTTTTTTTTAACCCTCTATATTTAAAATTGTGCTAAAACACCCTAATCACATAAAACTTTAATTTTAGCAAAATCACCCTCACCCACCCCAAGCCACTACCGGCAGTCAACCACCACCGTCGACAGTCGACGGAATGGTGCATGACTGGCCGTATGTGGTCGGTCGTGCTCGGGCAAAGGCAAAAATGGCCATGGATCACAAATCCATGGCCAGAAAATAGCCAGATCTATGGTCATCTCACAGCCACATCTTTAGTCATAAAATGAGCATAGAAACGCCAAATATGGTAGTTTCCGGCCATAGATCTGTGAGGAAAAGTCCTTATTGGTGCATGACCAGTCAGATCCTACCGATTGTGCAACATTACAATGATTGACGCAGGTGATCGACAGTAGTCTTGGGTGGCTGGGGGTATTTTATTAACTTTTAAACTCTTTTGTGACTGGGATGTTTTAGCTAATTTCTCAAATGTAGAAGGGTGGGGTAATTGTTATTTAGTAAGGGCAATTGTATCCAAAATGGTTTTTAATTAAGGGCTAAAAATTCGTGTTACAAATTTATGTCAAAAACCCTTATAGCTAATTGGATAGGAGATGTTAAATTACCAAGTAGTAGAGCCAGTCCAAAATCTTTGACAGATACTATGAGTAACAATATATTAATTTTACAAAGAATAATATTGTACTTCTTGTCTAACCATATTTTAAAATTTTCATCCCAAATGATATGTACTTTAATGTAGTTTTGATATCTGCATGAGAAGCCAAGATAATAAATTATATATCAATCTATGACATTGTTATCTAAATGAACGGTTGAGGTCAAGGATATAGTCAGAATTTTTAGTGAATGAGTTCAAAACATTTAAGTTATAAATTTACAATAAAATTTTGTGAGGCCAAAAAGAATTTAAGTCGGATCAAAATTAAAATATTATAAGATATAGAAACTTTTTTTATTCTTCAAAGTTTGAGTGCCTTAAATATGAANTAGAGTAATGCTATGTGCACTAATCAATGTGTACTAATTCAAGTACTAACATTGGAAATTTGAAAAAAAAAATTAGAGGGAATTTCAAATTTCCAATGTTAGTACTTGGATTAGTACTCATTGGTTAGTGCACATAGTTTTATTCGTATAAGTATTATGTCCTCGCATTTTGTAATACGAATTTTTAAAATTTGTAGCATAAATTCATAGATTAATAGTAATTAACTATAATTCTTCATCTAGATTATCTTATTACATTGAATTAAGGGCTAAAAATTCGTGTTACAAATTTATGTCAAAAACCCTTTTAGCTAATTGGATAGGAGATGTTAAATTACCAAGCAGTAGAGCCAGTCTAAATTCTTTGACAGATACTATGAGCAACAATATATTAATTTTATAAAGAATAATAGTGTACTTCTTCTCTAACCGATATTCTAAAATTTTAATCCCAAATGTTACGTCGTTATAATAAATTATATATCAATGTATGACATTGTTATCTAAATGAACAGTTGAGGTCAAGGATATAGTTAGAATTTTTAGTGAATGGGTTCAAAACATTTAAGTTATATTGGTATTTTATGAAAAGAGTAAACGACTTTTTCCTATCCAAGGTTTGCCTTAACGACACTTTTCCACCCAAAGTTTATATTTCATTATTACCCAAAGTTGATTTTGGCAGCAAAATTTCTCACTGTCACCACTATTTGAACCTCTAGTCTCCTCTCTATAAAACCCCATTTACTCCGACACTTGATTTTTCGCCAATTGTCGGATTTTTCGCCAATTGTCGGTCATCACAAAGCTAGCGTTTCCTGTTCTTAGTTGATTTTCGACTGATTTCGGTAAAGAATATTCAATCGATCACCACCATTCAATCCACCAACCTCCACTCTATAAAACTCCTCTCACCTTAGCTCTTGGTAACTTGTCAAACGTCGACTGAGAAAGTAAAGTATATTTTGGATAGTAATATAGTATAAACTTTGGATAGAAAAATGGTATTTCAAAACTTTTAAAGTGGGAAGTGTCATTAAAGCAAACCTTGGGTGGGAAAAGGCCGTTTACTCTTCACGAAAATGAAAAAGGCACATGAATCAACAAAAGAACAAACAACTTAAATTGGGACATGATGAAAAGTTGTTAATTTGGTAATGAGGGAGAAACCAAATGGCATTGATATGGGTGGTCCACTTTTCCACCAATTAAAAACTGTCGTTGCAGTGTGAAACAGGTTGTCGTTTTCCCTAAGTGGCATCGGGGAATGTGGGCACTTTTATTTGTTTTAGAAGAGTCAAAGGGTGGGCAACCCCACCAACTTGGCACCACCCCCTTTTTACCTTAATTCTGTGGACTATTCTGTTGGTGGCCACTTGCATCCATTACATCTGTCTTTTGGCGTTTTGCTGCTGACATCAAGATCACGGTTTTCCTCAATAGCTCATAGGCTGAGAAGTTGAGTATTTTCATTAGATAAATGGATTGTAATCTAATAGGAACATTTTCAGCACTATTTAAGAAATTATCTGTACAAAGATTGGCATCGGAAGATGCTGCCGGTTCAATTTTCATTGAATCAAAGAATAGTTTCTGTAACTTTGATGGCAGATACACACATCCTCATTTCAAAGAGAGTAAGATATGAGATAAGGGAGACGTTCATGGTTTTACAAGAACCGATTTCGTCGCATCCAGATGGTTCAGGCGGCATGTCCCCAGAAGAAATTCTGGGAGCTCCTCTTCGGTATTACCCTGTGGCAAGAACATCGAAAATAAGTACTTAAAATGGAATGGTAGGTCATCAAAAAAGGTCAGAATTGCACAACCAAACATAAATTATGTGCACATATTTCCTTCATTTACAATCTCAAATTTACCCACACTAAGTACTTAAAATGGATGGTAGTCATCAAAGGTCGGAATTGCACAACCAAACATAAACGTGTGTACACATATTTCCTTCATTTACAACTCAAATTTATCCACATCCGGGGAAAAACTTTAGTTTACTTGGCTTGATTCATGATTAAAATCAAAAAGCTTTAGCTTTTCCAATATGTTTGTGCCAGGGTATGCAACAAACATGAAGGGGTAGAACCTTTGGTTACGGTAACGGAAAATAGATTGGAATTACCTGTATCAAAAATGCCATTTCAATAACATGTTGTTGGTAACCAAGAACAGACTAACCACACCCCTTGCAACTGTGAAGATCCAATATCAATCCCGACTGAAATGAAATTAATGAATGTCAAAAATCACATGTTGCAAACGTAATTTCCCATGCCATATAATGTTTAGACATTGAAAGAGCTCTTCTCTTAGCACAAAGTCTATCTAGTAAACACTTGTCAAATTTATGCGGTTGAAATATTGCAGTACTCAACAAGTGTAGTACTTGCATAATATGAATTTCATCAACCTAAACATAAATATAACCAAATATGTAGTATCTGAAGTCAAGAAACAACATTTGAACGTCTTCATTTATATACGTAAATAATTCAACCAATTACTCTCGCCCTCTTCTCCCAACATAAAATACTATTTTGCAACATACCTCCAAGTAGTTCCTCCCATGGAATAGTTAATTTCCAGTGCTTGACCAATGGGCAAGCTTTCTTTCCCACACTCTGTTTAACTATCCATGAACCCTGGGAATCAAGTTAAATTAGTATGAGCTAGAATTATAGTCACATTGAATGAATTAATGCAGCACAAAATAAATGTCTCTGGAAAAGAAATGGAAAGAAAATTTTCAAAATTGAATATTTCTAGTTCCTCCATATGCAAAAGAAAATATATACACATGGACCATAGTAACCATCAATTCCAAGGGTTAAAGTGAATTTGTCCCACATCACCAAGTTAGTAGACTGTTATGGTGTAGATATGTGTATTGAACTCCCTCCT